CCACATCAATCCAAAGCCAACTCCAGTTACAAAGCCAACTCCAGTTTTTTCTTTTCTCTGTCATTCCCAAACAGGAGTCCAGTACAGCACCGATGCTAATCACTTTCAAACATGTCCACTACTGAGGAGATTATTAGGAGAAGGAGGTCCCTCAAAAGAGTTTTCTAACACTTATACTATTAACTGATCATCACATTGATTTATCAGTCTACTCCGGCTTTAGTAGGAACTTCAGTGTTTGCAAAGAAGCCATTTATTGAGGTGCCCTTTAGAGTTTGTCTTGTAAACAAGTTTGCAACATGCCTTGTGCTGATTTTAAAATAGTTAATTAGTAAGCATTAATGGTGTTTCATTTGGAGATGTATTTTTATTTAGCGGGTGAATACTCTAAAAGTTTTCTCTTTAAAGTGTAAAATTAACTGTATTCTGAATATAACCTTTATTAAATGTAACTTGGACTAAATGCAAATACTTAATTTCTGTATTCTGAAAATTTTAGTATCCTGAATACTTGTATTCTGTTTACCCAACCCTGGCTATTTTTAAGGCTTTTAAGCCATTATCTCCAAACAGAGTAAATTGGATCAGGGAAAACCACTGCTATCCAAAACAAACATAAAGGCTTTTCTCACGTTTCCCAAAAACCTTGATGACCCCCATGCCTTTTGGAATAATGTGCTGTAGATTGAGTCAAAAGTGGAACTTTTTGGAAGACGGGGTCCTGTTACGTCTGGTGTAAAGCTAATACAGTGTTCCACAGTAAGAACATCATACATGTGATCAAACATGGTGGAGGCAATGTAACGATGTGGAGATGCTTTACTGCTTCAGGATTAGGAAGCAATCGGTTGCAGTTGTTGCTACTGAAGTTGGCAGAATTTGACACTGTAGCGGGCACTTATGGATCTGAATCTCAAATGACTCCCTGCTCCCTACATAGTGCACTACATCGGAATTTCAATACTGGCTTCTGCATCCCAACAGTGCATAATATAGCTAACAAATAGTTATTTGGGATACAGCCACATCGATACTTGAAAAATAGTGCACTATTTGGCTGCAGAAGCTAGAATTTTAAAAACTTCCATAGCACACTATTTAGGGAGTATGAAGTGGTTTGAGATTCACCCTGGATGTGATGCTACTTCTGACTGAAACAAAAACATTTGAAGCATGTAAGCCATTTAAGTGCCAGTCTTCTATACTGCTGTTTGAATCATATCGTAAGTATGTAATTTAAGCTTGTGATATTAATAATGATCTTTTAGCCTGTTAGCTAGCTGACCAGCCTAGTTCTAGTAAAAAATAAGCTGTCAGCTCTTCAGTTTAAATAAAAACGGATTCTTTCTTCATCACTCAGTGGCTCATGTTAGCAGCACTAGAGTCAAAGATCATTCCATTAACAGCACAAGGATTGCGTATATTGTGTATTTTACGATGGCTTCAAAAGCGGCTCAGTCTAACAGATTTTAGGACCGGAACTATCCGTTTTGTAAGTGGTTAGTAGATAGTGGCAGCCAGCCCCCTCTGTTGGTCAAAACAAGCACAACAGGAAACATCTGCCCATCTGCTCTGCTGCCAGGCCTTTCTTAGGACTTTCCTCTGTGTTTTTAATTCACAGTTAAAACAGGGACATTTCTGGGGACAGCTCCAGCCAGGGACAGGCCACCAAAAACAGGGACTGTCCGTGGAAAACTAGGAAATCTGGTCACCTTACCCTGCTCCCAAGTGAAGAAGGAGGTGAGCAGCATTGTGTTAAATGACATATCAGTTGGCACCTTGCTAAGAATGTTTGACAGCAGCAGTATAAAAGCTTAGTGCTAGCTTGGCTACTTAGTGGATAGCCAGCTGGCTATTTTGAACAATAGTCTGATTCTGTAAAATTAGCTAACACATGCATATCAATAGACAATCACAAATACGTCAACCTAAAATCACAAATAAGATGCCATGTGTATATCTTTATTACACAACAACACACACTAGTTTGTGAAACACAGCTATATTTGAAATGAATTGTGGATGAGCCCAAGCTCATTAAATACTTTTAAAATAACTGACAACATGGCACATTGAGCAGTAATGCACAGAAGTAAATGATTAGGAAGCTGCAATTCCAGGTGGATGTTGAAGACATTATTCACATCCTGATTTCATACATAAGAAAGAAATGGCAACTATCCCAAACAATAGCATACAAGGACAATAAATAGGAAGCTCAAATTCTATCTTAGTATACCATGTTGCCAGTCATTTAGTTATGACACCACTCTGGACCAGACTAAAATTACATTGCCCTGGGATGCATGCTCTTTTGAAGATTCTGGCCCCCATTAAAACTAACAAAGTCTGTGTAAAGTTTCCTATTTATTGTCCTGTGTGCACTATTGCTCAGGATAACAAGAGGCCAGTTATTTTTTAAGTACTATATTGGCTTGCGCCAGAATAAAACTAGGTTTTCTTTACAGAGGAAAACTGGATCTCCATCTAGGATATTTCCTTACAGGGGGTTACAGTTATTTGTTTCAACCCAGGTGAATAAATCCCGCTGAACTTTCAGCTTCTTATCCATTTACCTTTACACAAGATTACTCATTGTGCCATATTGCCAGCTATTTCTTATATTGGAAAATACTATTTGAATCTAATCACATTAAAGTTAAATTAGCTTGAAATTACTTACTGAACTTATAAAACTCAGCCTGAACTTTTTCTTCAGTTTCATACTTAAAACTACTTGCAGTAAAAAAATATATGATAGAAATGAACTGAAGAAATCTGCAGAATATCTGCAGAATTAAATATTTTCTTACTTTATAGTCAAATTCTTTATACTCATAATGGTATGGCCAACATAGTACACATTCTTAATTTCTTCATTATTATGTCTTCATTATTAATTTCTTCATTATCATGTCTCTCTGTGTCTGTTAAGATGTAAATTGCACAGCACATATGCGAATGTAAACACTCCCTTTATTTTACCGTTGTTTGCTGAATGAAAAGTCGTGAATAAGGAGTAACTAACTTCAGCCTCATCACAGAGCAGGTATTATTTGGGTGGTGGATCATTCTTAGCACTGCAGGGACACTTACGTGGTGGTGGTGTGTTGAGCTGGTATGAGTGGATCAGATACAGCAGTGCTGCTGGGGTTCTCAAACAAAAATATCCAGGCAACAACATCCTGTGACCACTGATGAAAGACTAGAGGATGACCAAGACAAACTTTGCAGCAACAGATGAGCTACTGTCTCTGAATTTACATCTACAAGGTGGACCAACAAGGTTAGAGGATCTAATAGAATAAACAGTGAGTGGACACAGTGTTCAAAAACTCTAGCAGCACTGCTGTCTGTTCCACTCGTACCAGCGCAACACGCATTAACATGCCACCCCACGTCAGTGTCACTACTGTGCTGAGAATGATTCATCACCCAAATAATACCTGATCTGTGGTGGTCCTGTGGGGTCCTGACCATTGAACAGGGTAAAAGGGGGCTAAAAAAGTATGCAGAGAAACAGATGGACTATAGTCTGTAATTGTAGAACTACAAAGTGCACCTATATGGTAATATCCATATTCATATATGCTGATAAATGTCATATATTTGAAATCCATTTATTGCCATATATCAGATTTCCATATGAGAACATCTACCTTTTGGAGAATCCCTGATGCCATCTTAAGGTCCATTCCATTATTGTAGGAGTATTCAGCCCTCCTGGAGATCCACCTTCCCGCACATTTTATGTCCAACATGAAACTAACACACCTCCCTCAGCTAATCAAGAACTTCTAAAGGGAATAATTAGATGGATCAGGTGGGGTTCATTAGAGTTGGAGCTCAAGTCTGCAGGAAGGTAGATCTCCAGGAGCAGGGTTGGTGACCACTGCTTTACATTATAATATTATATTGTTCCATCAAGATAATGCAACTATATCTGTGGTGGTGAAAGGAACCAGGGCTCACAATGTCTAGAAACCAAATACAGCCTTTTATCACTATCCAAAATGACCAGTTAACCTGCATGTCTTCTGAGTTTTATATGTGACATTGATAATGGTAAAATAGTGGAAAATCTTTCTGTATTCTTTTGCCTTTTAATGCCTTACGTACCATTCTGCCATGACTTTATTCTATTAAAAAATGGTTTAGGCCAAAACCTTGTCTCAAAACTGTCATAAAACAATGTCTCAGGCATCAGACACTGCATTTTAAGGCTTAAATTATGTAGAATGTTTTAAAAAGTGGGCCCATTTTGAATTCCCCTTTATTTTATATGAATAGTCCCTTTAGGGCTGTTTTTGCCTAATTTCCAGATATGGACTGGAACGTGAAGAATATGTTTTAAAACTTTAAAACGTGTTTACATGATATATCAAGCTCATTCACTCATTTAAAAAAAAAAGATATTTTTGACGCTGATCTTAAAGGTTGATACGATACAGTCTGTGATTCTTTCTGCAGATTTGGTGAGTAGATATCCACAATTTTTTTTTTAGATTAAGACTAAACTTTCTTAATTTTCTCTGGAAACCTTGTGGTTGAACTAGTGTCCACTACAAGTAATGGACGGCTGTATGCTAACCTTTATGAAAGCTTCAGAAGTAGAAAAAAATAAGCTGAAAAGCAAATTTGTGTTTAAATGGGCAGTGCTTCACCTCTTTTTAAAAGAAAACATGCAGCCTTTTTAAAATATGATTAGCATGTAAAAACTGTCTGTATGAGAAATGTTTCACCGATTTAGGTACCACTTAATTATGAGGACTAAGCAATTGTGGAAACAGTGATATATTCATATAGGACAGGTACTTCTGTATCATCACTCAGTAGCTAAAATAGAATTCACAGAAAATGGATACAGTGCCTCCTTGTGGGAAAGAAACGTAGAATCCAATCAAATACCATATTATGTAAACCATTAATTTCAAAATTAACCTCAAACTGTCCATATCTCTGATATACTTTAATGAAAATCAAGAGTCAAATTAACACGATTCTACATTCACGAAAAATTTATTCCAAAATGACAACAAAAACTTTTCCACAACATTGGATGCCTTTTTTTCTGGTTAAATACATAAAAGCACTCATTGAACTGAAGCCAAAGATATTAAAGAAAGCTTGAAAGAACAGAGTGGCGCTCCAGAACAAGCTTACGTTAAACTACACTTACTATGGAGAAAAATAATCAGTATAATAATCAATATTCATATAACATTTCTTATACTATTATGTACATTTATGGAATACAATTGTCTATAAAGTGCAGGGGGAGTGATTTGAAAAGAATATTAATCTCTAATTATTCTTGTAAAGAAACTGTACAGAATCTGCATTGATATGAGGGTGCCCTGTGTTCTTGGTAAATCAGCAGATATGTTTGCGTGTCTTTAGTGTCTTTATTTCCTGCTTTGGGGAAAACCAAACAAAAATTGGATTTCTCGATTCGCCTGGTAACTTAAAGCCTGTCCAGCAGAGCTAAAGAACATTTCTATTGCACCCCCCCCCCCCTACAGGTTTGTTTTTACCAGCAGAAAAAAGACCAAAGAACCTCTAAATATTTCACAAAGCAGGATTTAGCCAGAATGCTGCCCAGTGTTATTGACTCTCCAATAGGAATGACCCTTAGCTCCTTTCTTAATGGACAGGCTTGACTTCAGACTTGGGTTATCTGGCTAAACAGAGAACTCCTGCTTGTGAAATATCCATCAGGACTGATTCCGAAGACATGAACATGGGAACTGTGGACAGTTCGGACAACTGAAACGCTCCAGCTTTCAATTTTCCGAATGGACAGCGAGCCTCTGTCAGCGCTGTGATTCAGTGTAGAGTACTGTACTGTTAAAGAATAAAGTCTCAGGAACAAGGAAGTTAGAATTCTAAAAATGAAAAAGAAAAAATATATTCGAGACACAGAAGAACTGAATGACTACTATGAACTCTGAATACACATTAGCTACCTGTGATACTGCTCTTTGTCTACCTATGCCACACCTTTGTGCTGCTGGATAAAGCTTATCTACAAGAAAAATGCATTTTCATACAGGTGTAGCTCTGAAATTATACACAGCAATCATGTGTGAATGAACCACAACCAAATACAAAAAGAATCCAAATAAATTACATGGGAGAGCAATCAGCATGTCAGACAGGTGATGAGGAAGCAAAGGGGGGAAAAAAAAAACCTGTTCATCAGCACCCCCGTCGTACTGTATACTCAGAAAAGCACTCGGAAAGGATTTGTAAGTCCTTTCACACCTTAAAACAATAAAATATTTATGCACCGTATAAAAATAGCAATCAGGGTGTTTCCTTCTTGTCCCATTTAAAGTCCAACTGTTCTGTTAATACAGAATAATAAAATACAGGGGTCTTTCGAGGCATGAGCAGACAGACAGCAAATCTAGGGTTTCTGCTTCTGTCCTTCTGGATGCCTGGACGTCCAATGATGAATCTGAATAGGTTTTAAATAAAAAATTTCAGCATTCCAGTCTAAAACTGAGCCCTGCACAGAAATAAAAAAATACACCAATATTCAGCTTCCTAGCAGTACCGTTATCTACCCGGCTTCCTACATAGCTACCTAGCAAAGAATGTTTTTTTCAAAGCAACTTAATAAGGTGGATGTTTTTTCCAAAGTTCCTCCTACCTTCGAGATACATCGTCAGATGGGGGGTTTTCCTAATAATTAAACCAGAAAATCTTGCTGTAGGAGGCAAATAGGCATGTTTAAGATTAAGAAGTTACAGCGATGAGTTTGGCTGGAGTGCGCCTTTAACGTGCCAAAAGGGAGGTACTTTCATCATTACCCAGCTATTCTTGCTTTATTATTCTTGTTACGGTCTTGAATGTGTTTCAGGTAGGGCTGCAGCAAACGATTTTGTCAGCAATCAGCAACTGCTGCTTCTAATTGCAATAAGTCGATTATGACACTGGCAACAGGTGAAACTGTGTGGCTTTACCACATTTTCCTGTATCGTTCCATGTTAATTCTTGGTCTACCACAGCTCTTAAAAGCCATCAGTCAACACTGTACTCACTGACTGGCGCATTGAAACCGAGACCCTTATGACTTACTACGAACTTACTAAGACAAGAGCACAGTCAATAATATTAGTTTCTTGTTCAGTGAAACAACTGAAACAATGCAATGGTCAAAAACAAAAAGTATAAACATTTAATTTGGCAATGGAGATTTGCATGGAATGGCGGTGGAGTGGCAGTACATTAAGTGCTTTTTAATACTAACATGTTAGTACCAGCTGATGACAAGCTAACTAGGAACATTAGCTAGCTACCAGTAGATAATGAATGGCTAGCTGAGATGATGTCCAACGTTTGAGTGAGGTTGTCGTGCTGTGTTTGCTAGCTGCTTAATCTATCCATCAACAGAACTTTGTGAGACATTCACTCTGCAGGCAGAATGATGTTACAAAAAGGAAAAAAATCCACTATAGTGCTTTATCTATGAAATGAATAACCTGTAGCTTTCATTTATGTTTCTAGTCAATGACACCAAAAATCAGTTATTAACATTGTTTTTACTAATTATTTTGACATCATCTGTGTTATTCACAGTAGCACTATGGTTGGAGGGTGGAGGGCTTTGATAACTGTGCTTAGTTCTGCTGACTGGTTTAAATTATGTCATTTTAAGTCATGCTGTCCAAAAAGTATCCTGGTGAAAAGTTTAAGTCTTTACATGTATGTATGTTTAAGTCTCTAAATGTATGATTTGACAATGAAAATTCTTATTTAGTAGTCGTTGTTGCAGCCCTAGTTACAACTGCCCCAAGAACAACTAGGCCCAAAGCCCACATTCATTTCCATCTGAAATATTCCCACAGTATCAAATATACAATATATAAGCTTGAATAATTAATCTCTACACTCCCACAAAACAACGCCATACTTCATTTGGTTAAGTAAAAAGTGCTTAAGCATGCCTCTGAAGCTAAAAATATTATAAGTGATCATAATCTTGCTTGAATTTCTATGCTACCCTCTTCCGCCTTGTAAATCTACAAGTGCTTCTGAATGTCTTTTTCTAAAAAACAGACAATTATCTACACTTAAATCTAAAGCCATTGAAATCAGTAATGAAATGCCAATGGATAGAGCTGACTGGAAAGCAGTGACAGATGCTTACACCTGCTGATAAGATCTTGTTGATGTGGTATTGTTGTGAATGTGTAATTCATACAGAATGTCCATCACTTACAGTTCCAGAGGTTGTATTTCAAGAAAAATGGTGTAGAGATTGAGCAGAAACAAAGAAAGCAAAGCAAAAAAAAAAAACAATAAACATACATATATACAGAAAATACAATATGGTGAAATATTATTCAGAAGGGCCATTAGACGGTAGAGTAGCTTGCAGAGACCAAAGCAACCTTCAGACTCTTTAAATGACAATATACAACACACATATAAAAGTCCATTTGTGTAAAGGGCCAATTTGTTTTTGTAGTGACTGTCCCATTTGTATTTAAAACTGCACTGTCCTGGCCATCTCTTAATTCCATTCCTCAAAATTTAAAATGAAAAATCCCCAGTAAACACTGGAAATTCAGATAAATGAAGGGCTTTTATCATTTATCCAGGAATACCTCCCCTTTATGTCCTTACAAAAGGAGTGAATATGTCAGAGAGCAAGGCCTGCATTTGGAAAGGTGGCTGTATGAGTGATGACAGACCTGTACCCTACCAGGTGGGCATCATATCGGGGAACCAGACACGGCCAAGGTGCTTGGACACCTCCCAGTGGATATCATCCAGGCCGTACTTGTGATCAGGAACCAGGACCTCCTCCATGATGGAGAGCTGTGAGAGGCGTCGACCGCACATCTTCACAAACTCCACGAAAGCGCTGCAAGACACCTCGCATTCGCCCAGGCCGATAGCTGACAGGTGCTGGCAGCGCTCGGCAATGCGAATCAGCTCTTCGTCCAGAGGCCGCAGCCCGTTGGCACACACCACCAGCTCCACCAGGCGCGGGCAGGTCAGGCCAACACGGCCCAGCACCTCCTTGCTCACAGAGCGGCCGAAGTACAGGTGCGTGACTGGCACCTCGTCACGGAAGAACGGCCCGAACTCGTCCTCATACAGGAAGAAGTACATAACCAGGTTGAACTTGGGTGAGTGACGCACCATGGCCTCCCAGCTGCTCTTCTTGATGGTGTGAAACTGCTGCCCGGGGTTCTCACTCACCACATCAATGCGCAGGTGCTCTAGATGGACGTGGCGCTCCGATGAGAGAGCCAACAGCAGCTCGTCGCTCAGGAGGTGGTAATTCAAGGCTAGCTCACGCAGCCCATGGCATTGGTCAGCTACACAAAGGATTCCTGAGGGAGAGAGAACCAGAGAGGAACGAGAAATCAGCCACACGCAAACCCTTAAGGAGACTACCACATTGAAGATGGAGTGGTACAATTCTCAATGCTGACAGCATGCACAAAGCCAGACACCTAGGCAAATAGCAGCACTGGAGGTGGGTGGAATTATTTTAAGAATTAATCAAAACACTCCAAACAGCTCTGCCTATCACCACTGTGTTCTTTAGCATAAATTACACAGCAACTACCACAGTGGCAGGCAGAAGCAAAAATGAAGAACTTTGTCCAATGAAAATAGTCTAGTTAACTAACAAAGATCTTCAGGAAAAACAAAAAGAAAAAAAAATTGTCAAGTTAACTGATAAAGATCTTTAGGAAAAACAGAAAGAGAAAAAAATTGCAGCACTACATATTGAACAAATATGCCCAAATACTTAATGTACATCAAATGCACTATGCACATGTAAACTAATTTCTAATATCTAATATTTGTAATATCTATTTTTTTAGTTTGTCTGCCTCCCTCTTACCTGCAGGTGAAACATGAGGGCAACTACTCATCTTCAGCAGTTTGAGCGTGTCACTGTTGTTGGCCACAAGAACCTTGAGTGACGGGTCATCTACTGGTGTGTCATCAATCTTCAGAGAGGACAGGGACTTGGAGTTGACAAACACCACTGTCAGGGCTGAGATGAAGTGAGACTGATGGAAAGAAAGAAAGACAGGTAAGTAGAATAAGTGATTTCCAAATTCATCCTTCTACCTTCTTTCCTTAACAGAGAGACTTTGAGAGAACATTAGCTATACTAGCTTCATTAGATTGTACATCGTTAAGCGAAATGTTAATGTTGTTGGATTTCAAATCTCTTTTAGGTATTTGGCTGCTGCTTTGGCTTCTTCTGAGGTCTTGGTTCACTTCAAATCACTTCAGCCAGAGTTATGCAATTAAAGTAAACAACACCTCTGAACACAAACACACATTACATGCTGCATATAGTGAACATTTTGGCAAACAATTCACAAATTCTTCAGATAACGCAACCGTTATACGTCTTTACTGTCAAGTGTGGCTGAAAATGTTGCGCTAATCCTCAAGAACACACAATTCAGCCACTCATGAAAGACGTGTGCATGAGTGTGTTGTTTACCTTGGGCAGCTCCATGAAGCTGGGACGAGCCGTGGAGATGAGCCCCAGGGTTTTCAGTGAGCAATTAACCAGCTGAGACAGGATATCACAGGCCGCTTCTGCAGACTCAGTGCTGCTGTCCACCTGAGAGTTCCACATAGCACTGAATGTGAGACTACAGATTTCACAACCCCCCTTTTTTTATTATATAGAAAAGTCACATGCCTGCAGCTTACACAAAGATCAAAATGATCTGCAGAGTCAACCCTCACCTTGAAGCTGACATACTGCAGATGGTTGGAGTGTCTCTTGATGATCTGTTTGATGAGGTCTGGGTGTGTGGCTTTCAGGTAGGAAGTGGCTGGCTGAGTGAGCTCAAACTCGAAGCACCTCCAGAGCTCAGGCATGTGAAACGCTAGGTTCCAGCTCCTGCACACTTGTGAGGCGAATGCCCGATCCAACAGGGGCAGGTACTGGAAAACCTGTAGCAGAATTTCCTGAGGCAGACAGCCCCAGTCCGCTGTGCCCTCTGAGTTGCAGCTCCCCTGTTCCTGCACTGGTTCCTCTGAACCATCTCGGCGGAGCCTCTTGCAGGATTCAGGTGAGCCAGAGCCAGGGCCAGGGCCGGGGCCGGGGTCAGAGCTGGGACTGTACCCGTCCTCCTGCTGCTCTCCTCTTTTCTGCCCTCTTTTCATTCTGTTGAAAGAGCAAGGAGAAAAGGTGTAAGACTGAAGTTGTAGCACTGCATAAAAAGGAAGGATGTGAAAGGATATTATACAGCAGTGGTTCCCAGCCCTGTTTGTGGAGTAAGCTACCCCTGCTCTAACAAACCTGGTTCAGCTACGGAGGGCATGCTGAAAAGGGGTACAACGGTATAAACATTACAAACTGCTCTCTTATTGGAAATTATGTTTAAAATGGAAAGGTCCTTCTCACTTTAATAACGGGGCCTTGCTAAATCCGAAGATGACGAAATGACGGGCATTTTTCATTTAAGTACCGCTGCTGCGTATGCTAGTTACCCATCTAACCTATCTCAAAAACAGACTGTGGCTTATTTCGTCATGGATATTTTTGTCAATTCCTATAAAAAATACTAGATTTTTTTTTTTACATTTGTTTGGGGCAATATACAACAGCGACTCTGAAAACACCTCGGAGTTGACTCGTACGCTTCCACGCCCCCTCTAACCCAGGGCAATAGTTAATATTAGCTTAGCGTGGGAAAAGTTTCAATATTTTAGGCCTATACATTAATTAAGGAGACACCAGTCCGCTTTATCGTTGAACAACGTGTGTAACTTTTTAATTGATGCTGGCTTTACTTACTTTTCGTCAAACGAACGAATTCAAAGCCCGTCAGGACAGAGCATCCGCTTAACCAACGAAAGCCAGTCGCTGGCGAGCTAATGTTAGCCAGCTAGCCGAGCCATTACATTACACTGAGTAATCAAGCAAAACAAACACGACTGTTGCAGCCTGTCAAAACGCCCCGCACAGAAAGCGGTGCAACAAAACAATTAATATGCGTTCAAAGAAAACAGGGAAAGCGCTAAACATACGGTCTCCCGCCTCCTACCTGATTTATGTTTAAGTCGCAGTTAAAAAGGCGATCGCTTCTCACATCAGCCCGGGCCTGCACTTGAATACTTCATTCGAGCGGGACAACCGATCACAACCATTTGCTCTCAGTCGATGTGATGGGAGTGGGGCGACTGACGAACGAAATCCGTGGTGTTGGTTGAAATTTCTCCCTGTATTTTTCGCCCCAGTCTTGTGACCTAGTTACTTAGGCTTGATCCCCTCAGCGCGACGCGAAAATGGCGATGTGTTGTGGTTGGAGAGAGCGAGCGATGAACTGTGGGTAAACAGTGGAGTTTGTGGCTCGGTGTTCCTCCATTAGGGGGCGCAGGAGAAAACCACTCTTCTGCCTCTAAGGGAGGGAGCTCACAGCGCTTTCGGGGGTTTATAATGCTTTTATTGTTAATTAATGGGTTTTGTCTGACACCCCTGCTGCTGGATGTTTTATAATTGTTTGTACAGATTTTTATTTGTACAGTTTTTTTCAGTGATAGCCCACAAATGTTCAAATTGTTTACAAATTATCTGGTGGTTGATTTATTACAGTGTTATGGTTAGGGTTAGGATTTGGACCAGTGTGAGGGTTAAGTTTAAGTTTTGGGTTGAGGTTAAGGTTAATGTTAGACCTTGGTTTAAGCTTGGAGAAAATTAAGGTGAATTTAATAGATGTTTTGTTGAAAGTAAGTTAAATGTAGTTTAAGTGTCTACAAAGCATCAACCGTGGACTATCCAAATGAAGCATGCTGTTTAGTTGTACCACTTTACATATATGAGAGAGCAATGCATCAACAGTAAAAGAAGGATGTGAGTGAAAGTATCCTGAAGAATATTTCATCATTTATATTTGAGCTTGCAGTTTTATGTCACAGACACCAAGAAAACCTCATTTTAAACAGCCTGTTTTGGTGACTAAATGCATGAGGGAAGCACACAGTGCCATGAGAGAAATTTCTGGGAATAACTGCAGTTGTTGATGAGATGAGAATACAGATATGTATGGATCATTCTACCAAACCGGTTTAAAGTCAGAGTTTAAAAAAACTTGGCTCTATGCCTTATTTATGTATATTTTATTAAAACAAATGGTTGAAGATGAGTAGTGACTGTTTTGGTAGTGACAATATTAGCTAATTTTGCTAGCCAGTACACAACTAGCAAGCACATAAAATTATATAATTTTCACTAAAATACAAAAAAGTTAAAATATGTGTTTCAGTAGACACATTTTCTTCAAAACAGCGGGATCTAACTGCTCACAACATGGCCATGAGGGACAGGGAGCACTTCCTGCTCTAATATGCGGGGGTGTGGCTAAAATAAGGCTCCACGCTGTGCAAAATGCAAATAACTAACTGCAATAATGTGAAAATCATTTAACTCCCATATTTAATTGAAAATAATACAAAGACAACATATCAAATGTTAAAACTGAGCAATTTTATTGTTTTTTGAAAAATGTATGCCCATTTTGAATTTGATGCCAACAACATGTTCCAAGAAAAGTTGGGACGGGGGCAACAAAAGGCTGGTAAAGTTGTGTAATGCTAAAAAAAACACTTGGTGGTTAATTGACAACTGGTCAATAACATGATGGGTATAAAAAAGCATCCCAGAGAGGCTGAGTCTTTCAGAAGCAAAGACGAGGAGGGGTTCACCACTCTGTGAAAGACTGCACAAATGAATAGTGCAACAATTCAAGAACAACGTTTCTCAACATAAAATAAAAAAAAGAACTTTTGCTTTTCATCATCTACAGTACATAATAACATTAAAAGATTCAGAGAATCTGGAGAAATCTCTGTATGAAAGGAGACAAGACCAAAAAACAGTATTTGCTGGCCATGATCTTTGGGCCCTCAGGTGGCACTGCATTAAAAACAGACATGATTCTGTAGTAAAATCACTGCATGGGCTCAGAAACACTTCTGAAAACCACTGTCTGTGAAAACAGTTCGTCGCTGCATCCACAAATGCAAGTTAAAACTCTAAAATGCAAAGAAGAAACCATGTGAAAACAGGATCCAGGAATGCTGTCATCTTCTCTGGGCCCGAGCTCATTCAAAATGGATTGAGGGGAAGTGGAAAAGTGTTCTGTGGTCCGACAAATCAACATTTGAAATTCTTTTTGGAAATCATGGACACTGTGTCCTCCAGGCTAAAGACCACTCAGCTTGTTATCAGTGTACAGTTCAAAAGCCAGTATTCATGATGGTACAGGGGTGCATTAGTGCACATGGCATGGGTGATGTGCACATCTGTGAAGGCAACATTAATGCTGAACGATAAATATATGTTTTGGCAACATTTGCTGCCATCCAGACTATGTCTTTTTCAGGGAAGGCCTTGCTTATTTCAGCAAGACAATGTCAAACCACATTTGCGTGTATTGCTCCAGGTGCTAAACTGACCTGCCTGCAGTCCAGATCTGTCACCACTGAAAACATTTGATGCATTATGAAATGAAAAATACAACAAAGGAGACCCTGAACTGTTGAGCAGCTGAAATCCTGTATTAAACAAGAACGGGAAAACATTTCACTTTCAAAACCACAGCAGTCTGTCTCCTCAGTTCCCAAACTTACAGAGTGTTGTTAAAAGAAGAGGGGATGAAACACAGTGGTAAACATTCCCCCGTCCCAACTTTTTTGGAAAGTGTTGTTGGCATCAAATTCAAAATGGGCACATATTTTTCAAAAAACAATACAATTTCTTAGTTTCAACATTTGATATGTTGTCTTTGTAGTATTTTCTTTTAAAAATATGGTTTACATGATTTGCATATCATTGCATTCTATTTTTATTTACATTCTGCACAGCACCCCAACTCTTTTAGAAATGGGATTGCAACGTCTGCATAAATCAGAATTGTTGAACAAATCATCAAAGGTAAAAATACCCCTTTTCCTCCAAGTGGGATGTACAAAAGGCTGTCCACAAAGGTAAGCCATAGTGGCGTGAAGGAATTGAACTTACAGGATGCACCTATCATTTTTTCAGCCATCCTCCAGACTTTTAATGTGGTTTTAATAATATTCCCAAATTTAAACCTTGTTTTCTGTTGTTTAAGACCAGTGTAGGGCAAGTCTTGCAGCCTATGAGGTTTGTCAATTAGTCACTAAGAAACTCTGCATTCGACCAAGTGGCCAACGCCCTAAGCTGAATGGACAAATAATAGAAATTTAGATTTGGTAAGGAAAAAACTGTCTACTTCCCTCTGTTGCTGTAAATGAACCTCATTCCATATGAATTTAAATATCAAAGTGTTTGCTTCATCAGTGTATTTAGGGGGAAGAGAAAGAGGAAACATAAAAAAGAGAAAATACATTTGAAGGAGGATATTTATTTTTACCTTCTTCCTGCAAGTGAAGCCTTCGTTGAGCTCCAGTGATATAGGTCAGCTCAGGTCTTCTGCATTAGGGTGTTAAAATTTCTTTTATTATCATTGATGATGATGAATAGATTTTAATTCCTAAATATGTAAATGAGTTACTGATAGGAAGTGATAGGGGTAACTGTAATGACTTGGCCATGTTATTTAATGGCATGAGTTTTGGTTTAGACCAGTTAATCTCATACCCTGAGAATAATTTGAATATGTCAAATAATTGCAGAAGATGATTAATAGAAGAATCTGTATTAAACAAATATAGAAGTATGTCATCAAATGTGATGTACAGTACCATATATTGTTATAGGCCTTATGAGAGTGCTTTGTTTAATGGCCTGGGCAAGGGGCTCTAGACTAAGACAGCAGGCGAGAGGGGGCACCCTTGTCTTGTTCCACACTCTAGTAAGATTGCAGTGGATTTTTGATCACTTGTAAGCACAGATGCCATAGGACAATTATACAAAACTTCAGTCGGGGAAATTAATGTAGAACCAAAACCAAACCTATCCAGAATCAACCACAAGTAGTCCCATTCGACTCAAATGTTTGGCGAGCATTTTTTAAATAAAATTTCCTAAAACACATGATCAATCAAGTCTTTCAACTTCAAAAAGAAGAAATCAGTAAAATGCAAAAAAATTTTAGGTTTGGTTATCACAAGTTGAAATGTAGGGGTTGCGGTTTGGGACAGACACCTCCCAACAGAAGGACCCTATAAATAGTGATTTTGTATATATTTAGCTTAATAATATCTCAATTAATACCTTGGGTTTAAACAGATCATAACATAATTCTCATGGGGAATCAGGGAGCAGAGTCACTAAACATACGCAGGTGAAAAGTCAGAGTAATGAACTATCTGAAAAACAAAGTACAAGGTAGAATCCAAAAGACAAAATGAGGGACGACAAAGTTTCAGAAAAAAAAGCACATCCACCGAACAGGTATATATACATACAGAGATAATAGGACACAGGTGAAGGCAGTTAGAACTCGGGGGAAGAGGATCTTTAAAACTGCTTGTGATTGGTGAATAGTGGGACTATGAGGTCAGAACCTGATGAATCATGGGAGTTGTCGTTTACAGGATGGTTGAAGACATTGGAGGAACTGGGTAGTGTGACAACAATCCTTCCAAATATTTTAAAGATGTTAATTTTTTTTCGGTTGCTGTGGGACTGCAATTTGAAATAAAATTCAGGAGAATCTGAATTTTATCTGTGTACTTGATCTATGTACTTAAATTTATCTTGTTACTCCTTTGCACTGAAATTCAGGTTTGAAATTTAACAAGGCTGACAAGCTCTGTTAGAGTTCACCTCATGCTGAAAGATGAGTGCTAGGTTTCAGAACTATTAAAAATATCCCAATGAGATACGCAGCAGAAGAAACAAAAAGAACCCAGTAAATTGTGATACCTTCTCACCTTCATCTGAATGTGCGATACTTGATGGCATGTTTTAACATGTTGCTTGTGGATTGTGACAAAACCTGTATACTAATGTCATGTTGCTTTGATTCCTCATCTTTCCAGATTGGAGAAAAAAAAATGCCCTCTAACAAGACTTCCAAATAACTAAGAACTGTGTGTGCATGTCTGCGTGTATATATATATATCTATGTATGTGTATATATATATCTATGTATGTGTATATATATATATATATATATATATATATATATATATATATATATATATATACACGCATATGCTATGGACTGGTTTATCATACCCATTGACACTGAAATTTAGTCTGAAATCACTGGTATTAATAGGGAGTTTATCCCTCCCTTTGCTGCAGTAAAAGCATCTAGTCTTCTGGGAAGACTTTCACATTAGATGTTTGAACATTACTATGAAGATTTGATTGCATTCAGCCACAAGAGCATTAGTGAGGTCGAATGCTGCTGTTGGATGATTGAAGTTCTAGGTAACAAATGCCACTCCAACTCATCCCAAATGTACTGGAAGAAGATCCATCCCTCCAGAAAACACAGTTCCACTGCTCCACAGCCCAGTGCTGGAGAGGTAGCTGATGCTTGGCATTAGGTATGGTGACCTTAGGCTCTGTGGCTGCTCCAGAGCATCCCACTCTAGTAGTAATGCCTTTCTATGAAGGTGCAAGCTGTGTCTGCACAACTGAACACCTGTGTAGTTCAATCATTGAGATGCAAAGAAAGTCATTCAGAGTGGTTTGACATGAAATGGTGCATTGTAGAGAAATGTACAGACTTGGATTTCTCTACAATGGTGGTGATAGGAACCAGGGGTCACAATGTCTACACGATATTTATTGTAATATCCAAAATGACCTGTTAAATAACCATTACTAACTTTCCATCACGTAGCTTGTAGAGGCATTAAACTCTTCAGACATCTGGCTTCTATCACACCACTGTGAACGATTCTGACTTTATACAGACTGATATTTGTATCAAATGTGTTACCATTGCGCATAGTTCTTCTTTTTCTCCTGAAGACACAGGATCTCTAAGTACATCTGAAAACAGTGATCTGTGGAGTGTTACATAGCAGCTTATCATGAATCAGCTAGAACCTATGACAGTCCAATATACTAAAATGTGCTAATATTAGTATGTGCCAGGCAGTGACATGAGAGGCAGCATGAGGCCAGCGGCCAATCCCTAAAACTCAAAAGGCTCAAACACAGAGGGCTGGTGCCACATTGTTTTTATGTTGCCAGGGAGATGCCGCTGTCAATCACTGTCATCTGAAATGCCCTATACTGTTCTGAGCAGGCAGCAGCTACTACTGTTAAATTGTATATATTTCTTCCTCTATATATCTTTATTATTATTGTTTTTAAGCATTTAAAACCATGTTGACAGGGGCTTTAAGAGCAGCACATGCACCTGAGCTGAGAAGGAGGGAGAAAACTTTTTGCTCCTTATTATGTTGCCTCAGCCCTCAAGTCCTATGGCAACACCACTGGGGTCGAACAGGAGGTGTGGTCTGATGGCCATGCTGCTAGATGTTAGCACTAGACACTAGCATGAGCTTGGCGTGAAGGCCTAAACAGTTGTACATGCAACCACACGGGTTCATTCCAGCTCACTGAAGCTTCATTGACGCAAATTTAGAGAACAACTCAAATCTGATCAAGTGAAATCGAGTGACTGTTGCCGAAGTGACAGAAAGACAGTTTCATTCTGATTATTAAAGTTACAGTGGGAGCTTTATTTCTCCTCTGTCTCATCTGTTCAAACGTAAAGACAGCCTGCAAGGTAGTAGGGGAACAGAGGGGAGTTTTGGAAACAGGGCAGCAAGAAGGTATTTACAATTTGCATAATTATGCATATTCATAGATTTTTGCATTCTTAATAAGTGTTGTGGTTTATGGATGCTCATATGCCATTTGTAGTAGTTTGTTTTGAGTGTCAGGGGGAGAATGAATTAGTGGAGTAAGACAATTCAAGACCATTCAAAATATCCCAGATGAAGTGTGCAGCAGAAGAGACAGAAAAAACTGGCGAAAAGTGATATTCTTGAATTGGAAAACAGTGCTTTTACAGATACCCAAACTGCTTAAGAAGACATCGGAAAGAAAACTCACCTTTCTGGTTTGAGGCGTGGACTACACTGCTGTTTAAATCTAACTCTCTGCCTGTGGCAGGGCAGAGCGAGAAAAACGTGCATCCTTTCACCTGTCACTCACTGCGGATCCTCCGAAAGAGGTGAGTGGGATCAGTAAAGGGAGCTCTATTACATTTTAAGTATCTATTGAATGCCTTCAAATGTTTATCTGTATTTGTATACCACTGCTGTCATAAGACAACCTCATAACTCCAAAATGGCAACTTTATAGGAGACATTCTTAGCTTAATTCCAAGTAATTTTGTACTATTTGGTGTGGTTTGAGTTATGAGTTTTTAACACAGCAGCAGTCAACTGGTTGTTGTTTTGTATATATTCTCATATTTTGAGTAGTTTATACTCTGATATACTCTCAAATATTCATGCTTACTTTCAAATAGTTTTACATGAGCTGGATTAGCATGAGCCACTTGTCTGTGCTTAACGGCTTTGATGTCACAAGATACAATTTTAGACATTGTCTCAAGGCTTTATAAGAAATGAAAAGTTGAAAAAGGCAAAGTTTGGGTAGGCTCATTTGAAAGTGCTATACCAGATCGTTTTTTGCTTCTCAGCTAACTGAAAATGGAAAAGAACAATTAAGTAATATTTTTTTTGTATTACAACTCTTGTGTTACTTACATTACAGTGTATAATAGCAATGCATAAAATGTGTCACAAAGAGTGAAAAGCCAGTTTATGTGCATTAGGCAAGTGTGTAAAGGCACTAATCGGTTGTAAATAGACAGACTAGGGTGGAATAATGTAGTCATCGAGGCATGTGCTAATTGGAAGAGGTGACGATAATTGTGCAGGTGTTTGTGTGGGTGGGTGTGTCTCCATGCGTCATAAGGACAGGTTGTTTCAGGTCAAACCCAGTGAAAACAGTGGAACAATGGGTGCGACAAGCATATAAACACCTGCAAATTGCCACAAAAAATGAATGGCATCAGGCTCATAAAACTTTCTCACACTTAACAAGCTAATATGCACAGAGACGTTGTACGTAAAAGAGTATATAATTGCAGCAAATAACAGAACCTATAATGGCTACAATATACAGTGACTAGAGCATTGACTGTCTGTTACTGCCCATTATTATTATATTTATTCTTCTTAATAGCTGACATTCATTTCATGTTTGTAGACAAAGAACGAGCACCCACCCAGTCGCACCTTCTACTCTCTTAAAGGGCCCATTATTGTACATTATTCTTCTATTTTCATTTATTATATATATATATATATATATTTGTTTTGATGTTTTGAGTGTCTGGGAGAATGAATTAGTGGAGTAAGACAATTCAAGATCTAAATGTAATGGTGTGCGCAATATCACAAAAACAGTTTCAAAACAGGCTGTTGCAGTTTATATGGACTTTTGTAGGGAGCAAACATAACGTTTCGAAACTTTAACACTCTGATTTAAAAAAAAGTGAGAAAAATTCAGTTTTCCATGACATGGGACCAAATAAAGGTGCTAAACATGGTTATTTGGAGGAATGTCATAGAACATTATGTTCCTTAAAAACTTCTAATGGATGTTACTTTAAAAAATAAAAAGAGTTTTAAACAAGTTTTAAGAACCTCTAAATAATGTATACTGTCAGAAATAAAGGAACTGTGCAGGTACATTTTTCATTCAGAGTACAAACAATGTAAACCTACCCTCAGAAGTACAACAGTGATTTCAAGGTCCAGTTGTGTACCTTCAATAGGTTTGTTCTCAGGGGATAGATATTTGTACTCTTTCATAGCTTACTGTTTTAAAACAGAACAATAAAATAAAAAGGGTGAAGACAAGATAGGGTGTGTGGATTCAGTACAACTTGGAAAAAATATAATTTCAATGGAATTCTCTAACTAAAGGTACTGAGGACAAACCCTGAGAGTTCTGCCTCAGTGACAATTTAGTACCTTCTTTTCTGATAGTGTGAAAATTCCTTGTCAATTTAAAACCATACGTTTGATAAAAATCATTTACGAATCTTTATTTTATATTGAAGTGCACAACTTTAATTAGGTGATTTAGTCAGTTACTGATAAAGCTGATCTGGAGGGCCACATGCAAATCTATACAATGAACATGTGCTATTTGGTCAGTTCACTCCACACTAGGGTCTAAAGCTTTCAGAAATGGTGGTCCAAAGCACAACCATTGTTACAAAATGTCTTCCGCATGTTGCATGCAATTAACATCAGACAGGTCCCCAAATCCTCATGTAATGCAGCTTTAACATAAAAAGATTTTATTCCAAACTATTTGGCACCATTTCTATTTATCCATTTGTCATACTTTTCACACAATGTAAAGGGCAGCTTGTATTCTCAAATGAAAAATGACAGCAATGATATGCATTTTAATATAGATATGTGGATATGCATTATACAGTTCACAGTGATCATATACAGTTGTATGCAAAAGTTTGAACACCCACAAATTTAAATATAGTGTTTTCAGCAAATTTTAGTGCAAATGTTGAGTTTAACATAACTTATCTTTGCTTAGAAAATCAAAAAAGTATGTAAATTGACTAGTGGCATCCAAACTCTGCATGCTGGTTAAAGTGGAAGCACTCTGAATCATGTTGCACCTTTTTGTTTTTATTTTTTCTCCAAATCGCTAAAACAGCAACAACTATAACACTGAGTTTTTTTTAAACAATGTAAGGATTAATATTGCATGATTGAGGAGGTGCATTTGAAACCCCACCCATGATGTAGTACTAAAACTGGTCTGTCTGCTGCAGTGATTAGTGTCTGAGGCTTTAGGCACATGTTTATTGCTGTTCTTGAAAGACAGACATGTAAAAACGAATTAACTGAACTGGAGACTAGAACTACATGTGAAAAAAGTAGTCAACCACATTTAGAGAATTACTGACTGAGGCTAGGCACCAAAATCTTTATTTGATCTCTTTTTAGGTGTAAATACATGCTAGGCATGTCAAAACATGTCCAGTGTGGACGGTGACAAAACCTGTAGTAACGTTATAGAACTAGTTTTATTCTCCTTAACAATCTTTGTCTTTACAGATTCAAATAATCACAGTTTCAAAATGTCCTCCAACAAAACACTTCAGTCTGGTAAGAATTTTTTTCTCTGTTTGTGTGCTTCACAATCTCTGCAGTAAATAAATTTTTTAAAATAACATTTTTTTCTGCAAATGTTAAATCACAATTACTTTATATTTGATGAACTTAAAAATAGAAAGAAAATAAAAGAGTACATTTTGGACACCCTTCCAGTTGTAAAGTCTCAGAACTTGAACTCTTCTAAGTATCTGATTGAGGATCTGATAATGTAGCTTAGTAATAGGGAATGAAGCAGGGGAAGGCAACTGTTCAAAAGGCATTAAGAAATGTCAGTTAAAGGGAACTGTGGAAGTCAAGGCAAGGCCTTAGCATGGAGGAGTCATCAGAGGTCAATGTATGATAAGAGCTATGGACCAATGATGTAATAGTGGAACTCTTTGGTCACAGTCACCAAAGGTATGTTTGGAGAAAAATGAGCTGCATTTGATGCAAAGAACACCTTGTCAAGTGTAAAGAATGGGGGTGGATTACGCTTTAGAGGTTGTGCGGCAGACATTGGCGCAGAAAACATTGCACGGGTAGATTGAAGAATGGATTCCACTAAAAATCAGCTAATTCTAGGAGCAAGTGTGAGACAGTCAAGAAACTGAAGCTGAAAAAAGGCTGGCATGGACAACAGGACAATGGTCCAAAACCACTTCTACAACAGGACAATGGCCCAAAACGGCCCCCACAGCTTCCTAACTTGAACATTTATTTCAATAGATTACATTTAGTGTTGTCCAAAGTGCTGTACAAGTAGATAAAAATAATAAAACAGAAAATACAATATAAATAATATATCAACATGAAAACGCACAGATGTGTGACAAATTAAAGGAAAAAAAAACATAAATTGTCTTAGTAAGTTGTTAGGCTAGCACAAGCTCCCAGAAAAGCTTCAGTGTGCCTTGACACAGATTCTACAAGTCTAGTAGCATATCCCCTCAACTGGAGTTTTTTTGATGATGGTAGTGGAGAACGCTGTCCAACACATGGTCCAAAAAGGGTTCATCTGGGTTGAGATCTGGTGGAAGAAGGCCATAGCATGTGATTTACATAATTTTGATAATAATCAAAGCATTTAGTGACCTTTTGATGGGGACATTGCCATCCCGGAAGAGGCCAATCCTATCAGGATAGAAATGTTTAGTCATAAGAAGAAAGTGATCAGTCAGAAAGAATTGATGCGCAGTGACCCTTCCTTCATATAGGGGACATATAGATCCAAACCATGCCAGCACAGCACTAAACATATTTTCAGCTTGGTTTATTTCTGCCTCTTTCGTAGATCTAAATGCAGTCACCGTTCCTATTGAAACACTGGTCAGTTGAGCAGTCTCAGCTACTGCCATCTGTGCACCAATAATGAACCCCTTTTCCTCTTGCCATCTTGATCTAAAGTCAAGGCCAACTGGGCCTGCTTTGCATTTTTGTACATGCCAGAGCATGGTAAGATGTTAATTGCTTTATTGTAGCACATCTGGAAGCATCTCCACTCGTTATGTTTCGCTACTCATTTATTCAGCTTTTTCATTTAATTTGTCATCTGTCTGCTGTTACTTCTCAGTCCTGTATATTTGCCCTATATTTGAGAACTGTCTGAATGTATTTGGGAATCTGTGTGTGTGTGTGTTAATGTGTGTTTGGGTGAAAAGTGTGGATTTATCATCATGTACTACTCTGCAGGTGTGCGTCCCAGTCAGGCAATCAAAGACACTACCAAACGAAGAACAGGTCTACTAAAAGACAACAGCTGGATTAAAAGAGACAGAGAGGAGGACGAACCAGTGGAGTAAGACACAATCCAGACACACACATACACAATCATTCAGCCATCACACATACTTACAACTAAGATATAATTTGGATTTGCAGTGTGGATCCCAACTATGGCAGAGGTGTCCTCCTCAAAACTCAGAACAACAGTCAAAGGTAGATTAAAAAAAACATACAGTACTAAAGTAAATAGCTTGTACTTAATGGCTGCTTAGATTGGTAATGAAAGAATATGAATTTTATGGCTTTAATGAAATAAAATGACTCTCTGGCTCTTGCACAGAACCAAATTACTACTGCTACAGTACTAAATTATACTGTAGAAAAATTGTTAAACCTCCCTGAGGTGGCAGATTTGTCTTCTTGTTATCTGTGTATTTCTACCACAGCAAGCCAGCAGAGGCCACCCTGATCAACCCAGTGTCCCCAAGTGCCTCCGTCAACTCCCTCACTAAGAAGTATGTTCCCTCATTACAATTACAGACTGAAAGGCTGTAGTGTTAGTCACGTCTGACGCGTCATTGAAAGTCATGTTGTCTTTTTTCTGTAATTTTCATCTTGGCAGATTTAATGTGAGTCAGGAGTTGCCAGATAAAGGTTGGCCTGGTATTCATACAGTAGCCTACTCATTTATGAAGCTCTCTATAGGTTCATTTCCTGTCAACACACTTTAGCCTTGGCAGGTCATGTTATGGATTTCCTTGAAAAAAAATATTTAGAAACTTAAATTTACTTCATGCAACTATTTAAAATTCTTTTTTTAAAACTTTATTGCCATTAACACACACTGACTGGCAATTAACATATAACAAATTCACCTTGAGATAGGGGCTTCCCTTAACATACATGTTGCAGGCCCCCATGCTTTTTTAAGAGGTAATATATTCTTCTATTACCTGCTGTTGTTTGATCTATTATGTACAGAATCTCTTGCAGAGGCAGCCGCTAATTGTCCTGCCATGACCCTGTATTCTGTACTCCTAAAGTCTTCACGTTTTCTCTACATTCTCTCCTTGTAAATGTTTTTCATGTTTAATGTATTCTGTTTTCTTCTACTTAAGCACTACCACAACCCCAAAAAGCTCTGTGACTGTTGCCACCAGTCCGACTACAGCCACCCCAAACAAACCTCCAGTCCCTGCCAAGTAAGAGCTTACAGTAAAGCACAAAAATCTCAAAAAGCACCCATCTGCTTGTGGCCCTGCTATTGCTTATATGTTTTTGCTATAGGAATCCCACGCTTACGACGACCTCTAAAAGTTTTACAGCTCGGGTGTTCTCAGGTGCCAATTCGAGCGAGAAAGCGTAAGTGAAATAACATTGAAGTTCCAATTTTGCTCCCATATGTGAACTCATTTAACTCCTTACATGGCCCCCTTACATACAGGATAGCTCAACCCGTTTGCATTGAAGTCCCTGAATAATAAATTATACAGAATGCAAATTCTATACTATCTATGATTTGCTCTGCAGTTTGTTTATCTTTGTTCTGATATTGTCTTATTTGTCTTGTTGGCCAAAGATTAACCCCTGTTAAAAGATCCATGGATGAGAAGTCTCCAGTGTCAAAGGAGCCACCTAAAGATGTCACCAATGGGTTGGTCTTACTGAGTTGAAAATAAGCCAGTCCACTCTATTGACTTCTCATTTATATAGACATAGAGGAGATATCAAAAGAGTGGTTTGATTTCCCAAGTTAGTTTGTTTTGTCATTTATTTTCATGTGAAAAGAATAGCTACTAAGACTGAATTTACTCATCTTTTCTCGCAGTAACAACAGTGCCCCTCTATCACCAGCACCGTCAGCTAAAGCTGTTACCTCTCCTATGTAAGTCTTCTCTCATGGCAGAACAAATGATTCTGCAGTGGAATCAGTAAAACAGTGCATAATTCTGTTGTTTTGTGACAGCACTAAGAGTGAAATCAAACCCTCTATGCCACAATCAACTACAGTTACCTCAACCAGGTAAGAAACTTCACCTGATTATGTTCAACTAAGACCGATTCAGCGCTACGATACACATGATCTACCTATCTGGTGGAAACGTGTAATTGCATGTAATGTGCAGAACATAATATTTTGTAATGTTGATTGTGCTATAGATTTCTTCTCTGCGCAGATGAATCTGATGATTGTCTTTTTGCTTGATAAAATCAAGCACATAGCAGTGCAATCTCTAAATACAAACACTGGCTGTACAACAGGTCATACTAAGAAAATGCTCAATGACTTTAAATGTGGCAAAGTAGGATACTTTCTTTGCCACAAGTCTGTTTGTGAAATTTCTGTCCTGCTAAACCTGCCCCGGTCAACTGTGAGTGCTATTATTGCTTAGCCCACTGGATTCGGGAGCAGTGGAAACGTGTTGTCTGGAGTAATGAATCACGCTTCACTATGTGGCAGTCTGATGGATGAATCTAGGTTTGACAAGTCCAGGAGAACACTACCTACCAGCATGCACAGTGCCAACAGTAAAGTTTGGTGGAGGAGGGATAATGGGATGTTTTTTAGGATTTGGGCTTGGCCCCTTAGTTCCACTGAAGGGTAATGTTCATGCTACAGCATACAGAGACCTTACATACAAAGTTTGGTGGGATGGAGTTTTGCATGGACTGCACAGAGCCCTAAACATGTTTGGGATGAATTGGAATGTTGATTGCGAGCCAGACCTTCTCGTCCAACATCAGTACCTGACCTGAACAGATGTTCTTTTGACTGAATCAGCACAAATTCACTCATACAAACTCCAAAATATCATGGAAAGCCTTCCCGAACAGTGGAAGCTGTTATAGATGCAAGGGTGAGGGCAAGCTCATACAGGTGTGATGGTCTAATGTCCACATACTTTTGGCCGTATAGTGTATCTTCATCAGTATAATGTTGATTTTGTATTTGAGATCTAAACACTGAACTAGACCTTCTTTTTGAGACTGTGTGTGACCTTAATACAAAAAGATCTATGATGTGGTCCAAAAAAACCTCACAGAACTGTTCTCAAAGAGCTACAAGCAAAGGCATGACAGCATTAAATTACTAAATTATACCACAAAGAAAGAAAAATGTATGAATCATGAGATCATATCTGAATTTATACACACAGCAATGCTGCTTCAAAATCTAATACAACTATTACATCAACAACAAAATCAACTACCCCTGACCCAGCTGCGAGCAGTGGTAAAGCTCTCAGGTAAAAACTTAGATTACAAAAATGTATAATTATTTCCCACCGTTGGGATGTTTATTCATAACCTACCTAATAAAGACACGACCTACTATTGCTCATAATACATGTTCTTTTCCAGTAACACAATGGACATTCCTGCTGATATATTGATTCCTGCGCTGTCTCCCACTGTGTACACAAACCCTGTCAGGTGAGATTTATTTTCAAGGCGTATTGACACTGTATTGTCACTTTCACTTTCACTATTGTCATATTCACCTCAACATTAGGGGTGTTATTAGGCTAGTTTCAGGCCTTAGCCTCCCCAAAATATTTTCATATATTATATAATATATAATATAATTAAGCCACCCCAAACCAAAAAATGTACATTATTAGTTCACATCATCAATGTTATTTTTCATTGATTCTTCATTCTTCAACTGTGCCATCATGTCAAATTCACTATGTGTGTTTGTATGTGTATGTATGCATATTTGTGCTGTTAAATGTCACTATGACCATGTCACTTAGACTGTTAAACATCTAAGCGCAACTACAAAACAAAATCACACTCTGACTGGTTGCACAAACTGACACTGTACCAATCTGTAATCTGTGTATATGAAGAACATATTTAGTAGCTGCAGCTTCTCTAAGAGAGGAGATAGCATTCCTTTACTTTAATACCATTGTTTGATCTGCGATCTGTGTATAGATATAATATTCAAGTTGTACTAGATCCGCTCTTAATGAAAACTACGAAAAGGCAGATCTGCTCTGCTCCAACTTGACCACATAGACATGTTTTGATACATTTTCCACCTATTGCTACTCAAAAGGTTCATGATGAACAGACATTTTGGGAAGCATGCCCTCTGACACCCTTAGTAAAGGCTTAGCTCCTCCCATCCATAAATTTCTACCGCACCACTCTATTTACTGGGCAGATTCTGCGAGTGCACTATCTTGTACAACTAGAAGGGAGAACTTGTGTCACTGCACTAGTTGTCTGTTCCTTGTTGAATTGATTTACATTCGTTTTTGAATCTATGAATGATGTCGTACCGTCATACATTGCACTGTGTCTGTCAAACTGTATTCAGAATTCTGTATAAGAACAATACCAACAAGGTCATAGAAAACTTTGTTTTTATGTATTTCTGGGTAAAGCTGCATCATTTAAGCCTAAAGTAAGGACTGTTCAATAGGAATGTTCCTTACCTCTTCTGTTGGACAGGCCTAACCTTTAAGTTATCTGGCTAATTACCTTATGAAATGCTGGTTTGGAGTTCTTTGCCTACTTTTATTCATCAGGTACTTTCTGATGAAAGTTTTTTTTTTTAATTCTTTGGTTAATTACATCCTAGGGTTTATTATTCAGGGCTTATAATTACATGCAATACAGTGTAAACTGGGCAAGTTATTCCTAAGTTGTAGGAATGAGAAATGGATGTCTGGATGTGTTGGTGGGTTTATGGGGATAATACAAATCCGAACTTATTTACTTTAGCTTATGTATATTTTTGTCTTTGTCAGTCTAACAAAGACTGACTATGTCATGTCAGCAGAAAGCCTAACGTTGCTTAGATGACCTTTAATTTTGTCCCTTCTCAAAAAAGAAGATGAATCAATTATCTAATCAATTGTGTTCTTTTTTCTCTTAGCCCAAAAAGTTCTTCTGATACTCTGAGCTATAATTCATCTCAGCCAGTAAACACTGCCAGGTAAGAGAGTCATACAGAAAATAGATGATCTGCATAATTACATGCAATCACTTTTCAGCTTGTTGGAAACACCTACCTTATACTTTATACTTATACTCTATACTAAACTTTTTATACAGTACTGAACAAAAGTCAGAGAAAGGGGGGTGGCCCCTTTTCATTTATTTAATTTTCAATCAAACAGGCTGTCCAATAGGAATGTCCCTTACCTCTTCACCAATTGGATAAGATTAATTTTGGGTTTCAGTTATCTGACTAACTACCTTATGAAACTGGTTTGGTGTTCTTTGTCTACGTGTATTCGTCAGGTTCTTTATGATGACAGTTTTTTAAAATTCCTCAGCTTGTTACATCCTAACGCATATTATTTAGAGCTTAATTACTTGTAGCATGTCTGTTGCTTAGTTACATGGAAAGCTATGCAAACTGACCAAGAGTTACAGCAGTGAGGAATGGAAGCCTGGACCTGTCAGTGGGTCCTGGCCATTTAATGATTTAATACAAATCCAAACCTACTATTTGCTTTTGTTAGTCTAGTCAAAGATAGACTATGCCATGTCAGTATAGAGTTCTTTAAATTATTATGTCATTAATATGTGTAAATATTATTTATTATCATGCATTGACTATAGCCATATTAGCACAAGTCTAAAATATTGTTTCAAATGCCTTTAGTTCAGACTCTACTCAAAAAATGAAGGAGACAAATCAATAATCTAATCAGTCTCTTTCTTTATCATGTAGTCCAAAAATCCTCTCTGATTCTCTGAGCTATACTTCATCTCAGCCAGCAAACACTACCAGGTAAGGGAGTCATACCGAAATTCCATTCCATTACCAGCAAAATAACTAAATATGTTTTCTATATTTTGACATAATGATATACATTCACCGTTCTCTAATAGAAACATCTACCTTGTACTTCCATTCATTGGCCAATTTATTAGCTCCATTTACTTTTTAGGGCCATGACAAAGTATGCATTTACAGACTGTATCCAATCTGTTGCTGAGGAATTTGTAAGCTATCCTCTACTCATTTATCATTGGTCAATTTCTGACCACAGGGCCACTGTTGATCAGATATTATTCACAGCAGTGACACTGACATGATAGTGATTTGATGGCGGGTGAGGCGCTGGTACGAGTGTATCAGGCACAGTGATGTCAATGCTAAGCTGGGAGCAGTCTGCACTCCAAAAATGTCCAGCTGAGAGTGGCTCTGTCAGAAATTGCATGAAAGGTATTCAACTCCTGCCTTAGAGGAGTGGTGTCCAGCACAATTTGTTGATTTTCATGCTGAAATCTCCAGATTGAACTTGTCTTGTTAAGTGACAAGTTTAGTTGGTGTGTTTAAGTAGAGAGCTTGATCAGGTGTGGGCAGTAGGTTGAAATACGCTGAGCTAGAGCATGGCTAACAAAAATTGTGCATGACAACAAATGGGTTACATTATCTAAGTGCACACCATCAAAGTTGACCTACAGGATGGTTGTTTCTAATAAAATGTTTAATTATTTTATCTGTATTCCTGATTTTTTACAGTACAACGCTCAGAACAAGTGTCAAACAGAGTCCAACGACATCCCAAACTCTGCCCTCACTTTCTGTGAATTCACCACCACTCACACAGTTGTCAACCAGGTCAGTTAGGCATATTCCCAGAAGAACAGTCTCCTGCAAAATGTAAAGTGAAAATCATTTAACAAACCATCTACTGTTAAGTCTAACCTGATAGTGGTGTCCATCCAACAGGATCGTGGGCAAAAGGGATCTTTGCTCATTCTGTGGTAAAAACATTTCTGGAGGAGAGAGGATGATTTTGGATGACCTTCAGATTTTCAGTCACACATCCTGCTTCAAGGTACATTTAGAAGATGAACGCGTCAGAGACCGGTTTTGTTGTGAAAGATGATGAGTCTAGTTTAAACTGAGAATGCAAGAGTTGGAAAGGGCACTACTCCTTCAGTAAGCACACTGTCTTGACTCAAGTCAAAGAGGCCTCTTCCAGTACGACTTTATGCAGCAGGCCTCACAGAGCTGCTGTTTCTGCTAAACAAATACCAGTATGACCCAAAGTGCCCCACCCCCTCACCTATATATGGACCATTGTACTGAGTTAGTTCAAACTGCGGTCTCACAGTAAAAAACTATTAAAAAAACATTTAAGCATTTAGATCGTAGATATTTACATCGAATATGCTATGATCTGTTTCAGCTCAAGGCATTATTTAAAATAGTTAATTATATACAATATCATATATAAGTTACTTCCTATTGGAAGGTGTCTATCCCAAAACCCCTAAATTTCAACTTGTGAAAATAATATTTAATTTTTTTGTAATTTTTTTGTTTTTATAAAGATCTTTTGAAAATGAAGTTGAAAGATTTAGACAGTTTCATTTCATGAAAATTTTATTTCATTTCAATCTCATCTCATTTCTTGTCAGTACCAAAACACAAAGAGTTTTAGTTTATAAGCGAAGCCTTTTTAGCCACACTCCTGCATTTTAGAGCAGGAAGTGAGACTGCATCCCTGTTAGATTCCATTGTTTTGGAATAAATTTGTCCCAAAGTCTGAAAATCAGTGTGTAATCAGTGTGTTCTTCACAGCCTCTCTGTCCCCTACACTTTTCTCCTCTGATTTCCTTTATTCTTTCTTCTTTGTACTCTCTATCCCCTCCATCTCTCTGTTCTACCCACCCACTCACTCCTCTCTCTCATTTGCACACATTATATTTATAAGGAATTCGGCTTCAGCTGGATCTCATATATTATTCTGATTTGGTCTCAATTCTTTTTGGGCTACAGTTTCTGCTCATTTTCTTCAAAGCTGAATCCTAATGCATCTAAAAATATTGCACAGCTCCTTTGGGAGTGAAAACAAGTTTAAAGGAACATTTAAAATAAAGAGATAAAGGACAGAAACTGTCACATATGCCTCTGTGTCCTTTCATTTCACAGTGTGAGCTATGCTGTCGTTCTCTGGGGAATCTGGAGGCAGGCGCCACTCTGTGGGTGCACAGAGAAAAGGTGAACTGTGAAAACTGCTACAAGAAGACCAAAGGTAACACCTCACTCTCAAACACGCAGTCAGTCACATCTTTTATTACGTAAGCATTCATACATACTAGGGATGCACTGATAGCACTTGGGTCGGCCGATACAGAGTACTGATGCTAACTCTAGCTAACCTAACTAGCTTATAACTAGCTTATAAGACCTGATAATTACACAGTTTCACCAGCCACTTCATTAAGAACGTCAACCTTGTATTTACATTCATTGACCATTTTATTAGCTCCACTTATCGTATAAGTGCAGTTTGTAGTTCTACAATTACAAGCTGTAGTCCATCTTTTTCTTTCTTCTTTTTCAACTGTAGTCCATGCTTTACTTTGTTTGCCCCCTTTTACCCTGTTCTTCAATGGTCAGGACCCCTACAGGACCACCACAGAGCAGGTTTATTTGGGTGGTGAATCATTCTCAGCACTGCAGTGACACTGATGTGATGGTGGTGTGTAGTGTGTTGTGCTGGTACAAGTGGATCAGACACAGCACTACTGCGTTACAGATTTTGCCATTAGCAAATCCTGCTTGTCAATCCCACAATGCCGATGTGGATACTGCGTTTAAGTGCCAGTATTGATGCCGATACCGATGTGCTATTGATATCAGTGCAACCCTAATAAATAAGTCAGCAAACACACATCATAGTCTCTCATTATCTCTTTTTCAGATCACTGGTTTCACTGAAGATACGGAGACAGCGTTGGAACCTTGCAAAAAAAAGAAAGCTACATACCAAACTGCTGGATTCAAATCCAAAATCATTTAATATCTTTGGTAGCAAGTACACGGTGTTTTTCTTTGACATGTTTACAGGGGAAAAGGACATAGCGAGATTTGTACTGGAAAATATGATTGTGAGAAGTTAATGATTATGAGCATGAGAGAAAAAAGATACATATGGTTTACTTTCTCTAATATTTCATGTGATATAAACAGAACTTGCAAAAAAATGTCTTTGGTAAATGTTTAACAGTGGTGTAATAAAGAACTTCTATTTCTTCAACATGTAAAAAGTTTTTATTTGGTTCTTTCTCAAATGACCTATGGATTTATGAATGCGCTGTCCTGGATCTGCCTTTACAGTTGTTGCGCCATCAAACCAGCAGAGCTCCAGCACAGGGCAGTTGATGTTTGCTCTAATGGACATTATTACCTTTCAAGATCCACAGTGAAACACTCTCAAATATGCAATATATTTCACACAAATGTAATGTACTGAAAACAGGATGAACCCTCACAAATTGGAAGATTTGCATTTTTGACCTGAAATAAAACATTTGACTTAAGTTCCTACAGTATATTACATCTAAACTGTAATGAATTATATAAAACATGCTTAGAAACACATTATATGTATTCTTAATCAATACTGCTCTACATGCAAGGGCATGTTGTTTTTAACAACTTGTTAAACTTTTTAATAAAACTTGTGACTTTGTGTGTAAACCTGAGTAATAAAAACCATTAAACTGGATAATATTTTTAAATATTCTGTGAAAGAAGGCGATAAAGTAAAGTAACAGTACATTGTACATTCTCCATACCTTTTTTATTCGAAGAAGCAAATGGTTTGCTAGTACAGTAAGTTTCACTTGTCATGATTGATTAAAAAAAGTTAGAATGCTTATAAATAGGTAGAATAATCTGACAGTAATCTTCTTGTACTCTCATCTTGAGAAATATGTCATCTGCTTTTTACATTCCAGAGAAACCCATTTTTCCACTGTAATTACCGACAATTAGCGCTCTCGTTAGCAGTTCTTCATCTCAACGCCAGAGGTCGCGCTGGTCAGCGGCGCAGTGGTGGGCGTGGTCTTGATGACTCCACGGAGCTCATTGGACGAACCGCTTCAGCGCCATGGGCGGGGCCACGGCGGGAGGCACACGCGCCGCCTGAAATCACGGCGAAGGCGGCGGGTGAGCAGTGAGGAGCCGTGCACCATATTATTTTATACGTTAATTATTTTGATAGTTTCTCTCGTCCAATGGAGGCCGCGGTGTTGAAGCCCCGAATAACGGCGGAGGGCAGCTGTGGCGTCGTGAACGCGGAGATAGAGGTGAAGAAGCTGCAGGAGCTCGTGAGGAAGCTCGAGCGGCAGAACGAGCAGCTGAGGACGCGCGCGCACGCCGTGAACACGCTCGCGAGCCCCCGTTCTCTGCCGTCGCCGCCACCTCCGCTGTCCCTCTTCTCTTCCACCGGCGCTGGAGGCTGCTGCTCCGGCCTTGGCTTCTCCATCCACTCCGCCCTGCCCCCGTGCTGCGCGCCCGAGGAGCCTTTCCCGTATTTCCAGCCGCACTCCGCCGCTGACACTGCGGAGGAGGCGGAGCATGACACGGGTCTGCCGTCTGAGCCCACCGTGCTGGACGAGATGGAGTTACTGGACCTGGATTCCATTTTCCAGTGCAACCAGGAGTCAGATGAAACCTGGTAGGCATCCCGTTGAATCATGTCCCTGCTTTTGTCCTCCTGTTTGCCCCCAAACATTTGTATTCCACAGCCACAACTAATGAGACCTGCAACAGCTGCTGTTTACAGCAGTTCTTCTGTTGCATTTCATTCTCTTCTCAACTGTTACCAGTGAACACCGCTGTTCAATTCAGGAATGGGAAAAGACAGGATTTTAGCGAGTCGTCTGAGTTAAACAGACCTAACTGAAGCTGTATTATGCAAATTCTACTGCTGAAACAGTGAAAACAGTTATTTAAAATGTTGCTATTGGACCATATATAATCACTTCCATCCACTCTTTTAATGATATCAATAAACGAATCCGTTCAATTAAATCATGGGGAAAATATATATCAGTGTACTGTTTGGCTGAAGCAGGCCTGGTTAAAGCTGTATTGATAACCAAAATCTATGGCTTATAATTGTAATGTGTTTTGGACTGAATGAATTAGTACATGAGGCCCTTTCTTTGTTTGATTTCTGAATACTCATTTAGAGCGTTTCCAGTGGACCATATACCAGCCAGTTAAGGAATACTCTTTGACCTACTTGTCAGATGAATGAGAATGGACAGTGAAGATAATAATTGAACCACTTTCCAAAATTGTAGTCACTCAAGCAGAAAATTTGACATGCATCCGCACCCAGCCACCCCACTCTGCCTTCTAGCTATTCTGCTTTTTTCTCTTGGGTCATATAACATGTTTTGGTCAAAGTCATGGTGTTGCCAGTTTTTGTCTGGTTGATCAACTGGCACATTATTATGACTTTAGGGATAAGTTTGAGAAGCTTGTCCTAGCTTCTATAGGTTTGTCACTAGGCTTCAAGTGTTTTGAATTTCATGTGTTTGTAACAGATCTCCTCTTGCATGAGACACAGTCTGTATTTGCTGAGGCAGCAGCCCATCATAATTTGAAACTGCTATTGATGCTTTAGGACTGATCTGCTTGTGAAAGGTTCCTCGGTCCTTGCCAAAGTTCTTACTCTCAGTGAGTATTTATGCAGATGTCCCAAAGGAGCCTTACAGTGTCTTAAGATCAGTTTTTCTTTGGGTACAATTGCTCAGTGAAGAAGAAAATGAGAAAATAAAGATCACATGCTGAACCATGTAAGCATCTGATGACTTCTAATTATGACCGTATATTTGAAATATTTGTGATCTTGTTAAGATGGTGTAGGTACAGGAACATAGCCGCTAAGGCCAGCAGTTTATATAATTACATGTCATAGGTTAGCATGTCATGAAAGGACAGGCTCACAGCTAGAGATTAGCCGACTTCTAAAAATGTGTTTCTCGGAGGCATCTGAAGATCTGGCGTACTAATAATGGAGGATCCTCTGAGCTGAGTCAAGTCTGTGTTCACTGTTGCCTTTGCTTTCAAATGTGACATTTCTTCTTTTAGTCTTCCTTTGTGTCTCTCTACTGTGTAACCAATAATAAATGTTCTGTTAAAAATCACTCCACACTGAAAGTAGATACTCCTGAACAATGGATGTTTGCCCACAGCTTGGCACAATTTCTTTTGTTCTCTTCTCAGGCTTTATTCTTCCTCCAAGTCTTGTTCGTGGTCTGGTGGAGGTCTAACCCCTCTGCAGTGGTGCAGGCATGTGCTCGACCATCCTCAACCAGAGGCAGAAGCAACTAAGCGATCACTATGTCAGAGACTTGAGTCAGGTAGGCTGTCTATGAAAGTACACAAAAGTTTGGTTTACCAGAATTGGACTAAATTATATTGTCACTGGAGACTTTTTAATGAGTTCTTTTTGAGTCATTGGACATTGGAAGAAAGTTTCCTCTTAAAATAAATTATCACTTATGGGCTATCTGAACACTGGTTGCACAATAGAACTATGAAAGTAGCCAGGATTTATTTTTAGCTTGTATGGTTACATTATTTTTCATGCAAATTTAGCATTAACAGTAAACACAAATGTCAGTAGCAAGAACTGAGGAGGTTCAAGTTCTGATTTACTTTTTACTTTGTGTTTTCTCAGTGGTTTGCACCATTTCTTGCTGTATATAATCTGGCTCAGCACGCTTGGTACTACAGTAAGAAGGGTAACCAAATTCAGCATGGGTGCTCAGGTTGGGTCACTTAGAAGTGGAAATAATGACAAAATGCCTCATCACAGATTTGTAACCATACCATACTCTAGTAGTGGGCGGTATGGCCATAAATTCAGATCACAGTGTAATTAATTTTAGATGCGCATGTAAAACTATTTTTAAAGGTTGGTAGTGGCTTATTATTCTGAGATGTTCCTCTGTATTTTAATAAAAATCGTTTTTCCAAAGTGAATATGACATTTTGTATTGTGCAAAAAAACCCCACAAAAAACTGAACAATAAATTGATAAACCTATGTCAATATTGCTTTTCGAACACTCCAAGAGCCTTGCAAAAATGTTGCTAATTTTTTTTCTTGCTTAATTTCTACAAGGCTGAAGTTCTTATACTTCTTCTACTGTGGCTTTTTTGTTTGAATTTGAATTGAAAGAAATCATGATTAGCTTCAGCAAATTTTTCAAGTCGCCCTAAACACTCTCACCTCTGATTTTCAAACTGGAAAACATTAATCATTCATATTATAAGTGCCAGGTGATTGACGGATTGTTGCGAGGCCCTGAGGCCGCAGCCTCCTCTGATGCAGCTGAATGAGTCAGGTGGCTGCTTGAAAAGAAAGTGCAGCAATTCGTCTGGTGTCCATGTTAGGCTAAGGTTAACCCCAAAAACCAGCCTTTTCTTCAGTAGACGACTTCAGATGCAGTGGACTAGACAGCTGGAGGTGACTGAGGGTCTGCTACGCTTTGTTTTATTTAAAATGTGACTGAAATGTCCCTTGGGCATACAGCTAAAAGGGATAGCGTTACTGTTGTTTGTGCTGTTTATCTGTCATGTTATCTGCATTTATTTGTGGCTTACCTCTATAAAAGTTGTTACTTACGCCAGAGCAAGAATTTCAACCAGTATACCGGATGAACTTGTTCACCTGTCACTACTACTGTACTGCACTGCACCGTGTTAGTTTGAATTAGGTAGTAATTATACACCTTGATTGATATCTGATTATGTAGTACTATGATGCATCTAGACTGTGTGAACAAAAGTCCATTTTGTCGTCACATTAAACTTAGCACACTCTGATTTCACACAAAGGTCTGATGGTGAAAGCAGGCAGCTGAGGATGCTGATGAGACTGTAGAATGCCAGTCCTGTAGACGTGAGCAAAGCTCACAGCTTGCGGTGCCTGTCACATTTCACAGGATTAGCGGGAGAAGTCTGCCACTCTATTATTTAACTAAAAGAGGAAGCCTAGCTTAGTCCTAAACTATGAAGGATTTTTGTTGGAGTATCGTAATTTACAGAGTAATTTAGTCAAACCAACTTGCCCAAATTTTCAGGTGCTTTAACCACATAAAATCTTTTACTTACATTATACACCCATTTTTAAAGCAGATTAAACATGAATGTCCACAACTGCAGTGTAAAGCTTTTTGCAGACGAACCTCACTGTAACAATGAAGCTGCAGCTCACACATGCTCTGTGCTGAGCCCTGCATTCACATGTTTGGGTTTTACATTGTGTAGCATCACTTTGGAACATGTACTGTAAACTTGTTGGTGGAATTCAATGTGAACGGGCAATTCATTCAAACATTAAACATGTAAGCGAAAAATGTTGGTTGCTGCTCCTCTTTTCCGATGCTGAGCACCTTTTGGAACTGGCTTGTAACTTACTCGTGTTTAGCAAATTGAAAATTCTCCATGGTCAGATAGCTTTTGATGCTTTAGAAGAACAGTGCCTTGCATCCCTGACACTGTGTTCTTGCTCATAAAACAAAAAAGATGTGCATAAGTTTTAAGCAAACCAGCTGCTGTGTTATGTTCTTAGTGTTGGATGTCAGAAGTTGTTTACTTATTATATTTCTGTCACTTCAATACCAGTCATTCAAAATGTGTGCTCAGATATGAGTCTTTATCCTCTAAACGGGTGTTTTTAATCATCAGCTCACTAAAACCGTACTGCGGTGGGAGGCATCGTGCACTCGCGTTAGCTTTGCCTAACAGGCTATAGCTTAAACACTACAGAACAGGTCTGATCTTGGCTTTGTAACTCCACCGCCAATCAGTCGATTTTATTCTTGCTCTTATAAGTTTTTATCATCTATAATTGTGATAGCAGAGCACCGGTTAGTCAAATTGAACCTGCACTGGGGTGTTTGGATCTCATTAACTAAGTTAGCTAGGAGAGAGGACCCGGGTAGCAGAAGCTTATCTATAAGGTTCCAGCTCCAGACACCAGATAAGAGGTTTAATTTCGACCTTCTGTTTCTCTAACATTGTACTCGACTTCGCTTACTCAAATTTGAGTCCTTATCTAAATTTTTGTCAGTAAAGCTGTTGTTAGAATTGAATATTCTGTGATGAGCACAGCTGGCAGCATGGGAGCTGAGCTAACGCTCACCAACTGCTCTCTTCTGGTTAGCAGCGCCGTTTAACATTTAGAAATTGGTCTTAGATTAAAAGCTGTGATGTTTAATTAAGTGGTGGATTTAAGATCTTGCATTGTTTTCATTTATTTAGCATTCGTGTGAGTGAACACAACTTATTTGATTGAATTATTTTTGTGTTTGAAGTGATGCAGCACTATAAAATGGCACAATATTGACATAAATGTAGAGCCAATCAGCAAATAGCTACATTGTTGCATCATCCCATTGAACTAGCTAACCGTGCAGAATTTGAACGTTGTAGAGCACTTCATATTGGTGGCAGCTCTATGCCTGCGCTCTGCTTACAGGCAGGTGATAAAGCTGAAAAGTAATAGAAGAAACTAAGTATTAAATTTAAATCATATAAGAAGATGAAGATAAATACCAAAGAGGTGTAGTACTGTAATTAAACACTAAATGAAAGAGATACATTATGAAATGTTTTATGATGTGTGTTCTGAGCTTGACTGTCTGTTTTAAAAAGTGGAATAGAGTTCCACACTTTAGAAGCATAATATCTGAAAGAGGCCTGTAGTGCAGTTCTTTCAAAATGAGGGTGATATGAGCTCTCTTTTTTGTTTCTTGGATCTGTGCTTGAAAACAGTGAGTTTGTGAAGAGGTAATAAACTGATTACAGTTGTGATAAATTATGTTAAGTTTTATTTTATTAAATTTAGTAGAGTGTAAAAATGAACTTGACATTTATTTGCAGTCTCATTGCATGCATTCTATAGCAACGCACCTCTATGTGCCACGACGTGGCTGTGTGCAGTGGCCTTTAGAGGAGGAAAGAGACTAATCTCTGCAGAGCTGTGGCCTGGAAGGAACCTAGTACAACACCTGTGTTAGCATGTGGCAGATACATTTTCCCTTAGTCTTCATGATATCCTGAAATATGTGCAATAATCAACAGTTATTAATGTGGCTTTGGCCTCTTTGCACTTGATGAATCAAGACAGTCACATAATCCAATAAATAATAAAAATAATAAATTCGGTAAAAAAGTCTTTAACCAACTTACTTGAAGGGTTCAAGGGGAGTGATTTTAGTACATTGCAAGGCATATCACATTATGTAGCTACTACAAAAATACTAGTATTTTGTCTGTATCTTGCAGCCAGGTAATGTGCAGGTAGTGTAGCTGCAGAGCTGAAGCATGTTGGATTTGTGAAGTATGAGGCCATGGCCTTGAAAAGTGAATGGGTGTGATGGTGCACTGACTTGGGGGAAGATTGTAATGGATTAATAGGGATTAAGGCTGTAAGCTGGTAAAGGGACGCTTACGTCCTTAGCTGAAGCAGCTGTACATCATGCTCAGAAAGGAATATGCTGAAGTTTTTAAAGTGGTTTGTGTGTTGGCCACGTATTAGAACTCCATAACACTGGTCTTATTTACGTGAATATTATTACTAGACAACTTGTTCATGTGGCCATGGTTTGGTTTTGTTACCACAGAGAGGAGACCCCATGTTGTCTGGCCCACTCTTTGCTTGTTGCTATATTCAGGAGCGAGAGGCCGGGAGCGGTAACCATGGAAACTGTTTACATAAAAGGAATCGGCTCTTGATGCCAAGTGGCTTGTACAGTTCTCATTGACAGCTTCCATAACCTACGTATTTTCTAATAGGTCAGCATAGACACAGACACAGCTCTTTATTTATTGCTGGACTGCAGGATATTATCATTTAATGTGCTGATTATGGCTACAAGATACAGATAAATGCTATATAGCTGTTTCAAATATAATAAAACCACCTTGATGTAATAAGGTTAAAGACAGACCTGCATGATTTTGACCAAAAGTATTTATCATTGTTGGATCATGTGAATAATACATGAGCACTCACAGAAACTCATCTGTGACATAACATTCAAGATGCTGCCAGCATCTAAAGGGCTCATTTGCATTGTGCAGCTTTTGATAGTATTAGCATTGCCAAAGCCAGTCTTTAACCATTAACAAATGAAATACTGAGCAGCCATAGTGTAGATCCACATATGTATTAAATAGAATAAATATTTGGATTACAATTTAAAAGATGCTAGCTTGAATATAAGCGCGTGCGTGTGTTTACAAAGCCGTTATGTTCTGGCTCCTGGTCAGTGGCCCTGCATGAATGACTTGCATTGGGACGCACATGCTTCCTCCTATTACACCCTGAATGCTGCTTTGTTTTCAGTGCCTGAGGGAACAGATGTGTACTCTGGCTCCTCATCAATACCCATTCTGAGGCCTTCTGATGGCACTAGATGAGATGTTCTGAGGTAGTTCTTTACAAAGATTGCCTTTTTCCTGCTCTTACATAACCTACAAAATGCTGCGGTGTTTGTTCCATATGGCCCTTTCAGATGCGGTAAGTGCAGTAATGGTGGTTAAGAAAGAATACATTTAGTAAAATGGTGCAACGATATAAGCAACATGTTGACATTTAACACCATTTAAGCCCAGCTAGTATTTTGACTGAAATCTGGTCTAGAATGCAAGAGGCCATGACTCTAGTAAAACCAGTTGACCCTGAACTGTTGACTTTGTAAATATTTGTTTCTTGACCCGAATTTGTGTTTGTATGCTTATATATGGCATGTGAGCATTTGTTGAAAAGGCTGGTCAGCATATGAATGTGGGTTTTATAAGAATCAGAAGCATTTAGTTGGATGTGTTGGCTTTGCTCCATGGAGAAAAATCTGTCAATATGAAATACTGAAAAAAGCTCATATTTGAGTATGACAGTCCTAAAATAGCTTTACAATTCAAAATAAGTGCAGTCTTACTCTTTATATAACTTTTATAATGATCTAGATAATACAGTAGTTTAAAGATGTTACTATGTTAGTAATTGAGTAACAATGTGGTTATTTTGATTATTAATTAAGTAATCAGATCCGTGTACAATGTAACATTTTTATACAGTAAAATAATCATTAAAAATACAGTCCACATGATGATCCTTGATGTGTATGTAATTATTGTACAGGCCTATCTGCAGTTAGGATTAGGGATATGCATTCTGACATAAGAGATAATGAATGGATATTTGGTTATGTAGGGAAGGAAAAAACGGACTTCGACTGAAATTAATGTTGCACTGTAGGCTTGCCTTTTTAGGTCACAGCACTGGTGTTGCCAGAAAACTGTAGCAGCATGCAGAGGAATGTTTCATTATTCAAAAGTAGCCAAGGGAACTGATGAATAACAAAGGCTGCCTCATTGGCAAACACAGCTAACAAGTACAACACCAGATGCTGATGAGGACTCGTCTTTTCTCCTCACTGGACATAGTGGCAACATGTCAGTTTGTCATAGCAGTATATTTTCACTATTTCTGGACCCAGCTAACAGGGGCTTATGTAGACAGAGGACTTATTTAGCCATGTTAAATAATTACCGCTTGACTGAATTGTAGGTCTGTATGTTTTCTCTTCCCGTGATGAAACGTAACAAATAGCCAAATACTGATTTCACTGTTTGAATACTGGTTTCTTAAATGGTTAACCAAGCACTGAAGTACCCATGCACATCCCTGGGTTTAAGGATTTGTGCCATAGAGGACTGTAAACTTTACTGATAGCTATGAAGCTGTTACATTATAGAGTAGCGTTTAAAACAAAACACTAACTAACCCTAACTGAGTAGAGTACCACTACTAGAATAAAGCTAATTCTTACTATTTTTTAGATTTTCAGTAGTATATCAGCGCAAATCTAGCAGTGGTTTACACTCAATTTCCAACATTGGGTTTAATGCTACTTATGGCAGCTCTAGCTGATTTGAAGCTTGTAGGATACATTCAAGTAGTATTTCTACTCTGTATGTTGTAGTTTTACATAGAATCCTTCAGTAAATATTTCTTAAAGCCTATGTTTGAATATTATTAAAGGAGCCTGTTAACTGTCAGCAGTGTGCAAAATTCCCCCATCTGGTATTAGGAGGGTCCTGTGTTGGCTGGCTACTCCAGTGTTGGCTAGCTGCTAACTCGCCATAGCGGTGCTGATGCTAGCTTTAATGGTGGCAAAATATTTGGTTTAACAATTCTTCTGGAAATGCTCTTTTCTAGTTTGTTAATGCGCTCTTCCACACATTCATAGAAACCGTACGCGTCTCATCTTGTGTCTTCATTTTGAGGAATGAGTAGCAATTCACCATTTCCTCCAGGCTCTTCAGAAATTGGACAAGTTTTCAGATTTACAAATATTCCATGGCATGTTGTAAAGTTTTTTCCAGAGATATCCTGCGCATAGTTACAGTTGCTAGGCTATGAAGAACTAACTGGGTGAACCCGTTTCTACAGCACCACCCTGAGAAAGACCAGTGCTTCATCCCTGGTTAATTAAGAATACCAAAGACAAAATCTCATCATTTCGTGGGTGAAAAGCATTTCCTTAAATTTGTATTTGAACATCTAATTTACACTAATAGACAGCATAACATCATAATGTTTAAAAATTAGTTTATTTTCAGGGGATTCCCAGAATTTTGATTTTGAGACATTCAGGTCTGAGACATTAATTAGGAGGTCCTAGACCCCCCCCGCCATGGTAGTTGTTAAATAAGACACATGCTCTTTTCAGTTTTTTTCATGAAGCTGGTCACTATAGACCTAGCCTATAATATGGTCATGTTAATGCTGATATCTAACTCTTCTGCTTTCCTCTACCTGCTCTCATTTAGTTAATAGATGGAGGGGTGTATTCTCCTCCTCGTCCCCGTCCTCTCCTGCTTTCCCTCACAGCCGTGTAGTTGGAGTTCCCCCTCTCTGCACCTCTTCAACCTCCAAATCCTGCTCCACTCCAGCACCAAGCACTTCTGCCTGTGAGAAACCAGGTAATGCACAGCATACAAGACAAACTATTATCTTTAAAATTCTGTATCTTTCAGAGTTATGGGATTGCCCAATGATGCCATATGTAAACTTATGGAAAATACTGTCTGAATTCAATGTTTCCTTCTTCACTGTAAGCCCTTCCTGTTTGCATTTCTCTCTCTCCCTTCCTCTGTCCAGCTTCATCTACTCCCTCATCCCTTCATCCCTCTCTCCTTTCCACCCTGACCCCAATTGGAAAGGACCGCTCTCCTCAAGCTGAGAGAACTCCCACTTTCCTCTATCACCCAGCCAGTCGCAGTAAGCAGCGCTGCCATCCCATAATCCATCACCACCTTGCCATGGTGACCCTCCCCATAGTGATGCTCACTATGGTGACACCCATGCCGGTCATTTGCCATGTTTCATATCAAGTAAGGCAGTCTAACGTTCGCTTCTGCTGTTATCGCAAGTTAAATGTGTTCTGTTGTTTGGGGTTAAAAAGTGTATGAGCTGTGTTAATTCTCTGCAATGGCAACGGCTTTCCTCTCACCAAATCACTGTGCTCTGTTCTGTATTGTCTCATGGAACGTGCTTTGGAAAACTTGGCTTTTAGCTTAGTCTACAAACATAGATTCACTTAATGGGTGTTCATGCAAGTGGCTGGCCCTTTGCAGGTCGCAGTCTGCGGCGCGCTCCCTTCAGCACGCAGTCATCTCTGGACAGTGAGCTGAGTGCCTCTGAGCTTGAGGATGACTCCATCTCTCTGGGATACAAGTTGCAGGACCTCACTGATGTGCAAGTGATGGCTCGACTCCAGGAGGAGAGTAAGTGGAGTGCAGATCATCGCAGGGATTGAGTTCAGCTGAATATTGGGTCATTCCACACCAGCTTAGCTAGTACTTGGAAGAGCTTGGCAAGTCAAAGTTGAAGCAAAAACAATTTCAGCAGACTCAACATAATACTTTTTAGTTAAGCATCTTTAATGCAGGAATGGCTAATTCCTAAGTTGGAAAAAAATGTAGAAAAACCTAAATTTTGCATAAACAAAACTAGGCAAGATTAATTTAGCTGAACTGACTATCAGACTATAAAATGATTTTCACCACAGATTATATGACTATAAGATGATTTCCACATGCACACACACATGCACAAATATCTACAGTTACCCAGAATACTCTGCAAAGTGAAGCAAATTTACAGTTTTTGTGTGAGTGTAGAAATATGCTCAAAAAAATCACTTGTTCTCTAGCTGCTAGCATACATGCTAATGCTAACAGTAGCATCATAGCTTAATTTGCAAAAACGTCATTGTTTATATTTTGATGTACATTATGGGATGTCGATTTTGCTTCATTTAATTAGGTGTATAATGCTACTTACTGTCTGTCTTGGGCAGGGTTTGTGCATGTGCATTTCAAAGTGAGTCAGAGGATCGGTCAGTCAGTAAGTGACTCAGTAAGAGGCTGGCCCGCTGGGTGATCCAGCAATCATTTTGAAAACTGACTGAAAGTTTACATTTCAAAGATAAAAGATTTAATGCTATGACATAAAAACTACACACTACAATTAATTAACCTATTTTGGGATTTATTAACATAAAAAAACTAGATGATCTTAACTGAAATGTTTTTGTCGTTGAATTTAAATTGTAGCTCCATCCAGTCATTCTGTAAGCAGTGTTTAAGATGTAATTTTGGGACAAACTTTACTAAAAGATGAACTAAAGACTCAAAACTTGAACTTTTTGCAAGAATTTTAGGAAATCCAAGAGATGACCTGCCAGGCCCTAGGTGAGTTGGCATGGAATAGGGAATCTAGAATTCTCAGAGGAAGTTATTATTGGAGATGTGTGTTTCTGGAACAGGCCAGAACAGGCAGACTGTTTTTATGATACAGATTAAACATGATCTTTGGCTGCTTTGCACTATGAATGTTTACCAGTTTGAAAAAAAAAAACCAAAAAACAAAACAAAACTGGGCCTTAAAAAACATTAACTTGTATAAAACCAAGAAGCTAACCTATGGGCAAGGAAATTCATTATGATCCTGTTTCTTGATTCTACATGCTTAGCATTTGCTGTTCTTTGTGTTTGAAGTTACAGTAAAATGTGCTCGAACTGTGCCTGTTGTACTTAAGGTCTCCGCCAGGACTATGCCACAACCTCGGCTTCCTCCTGTGTGAACAGCCGCCGCAGCGCCAGCTTCTCCTTTCAGTTTGGACAGCGGGGCGAGTGCAATTTAGAGGAAGAGGATGACGATGATGAAGATTATGGCCAGCTGCCTCCGCCGCAGCCCCGTCTGACCCGGACTGGACCTTTACAGTGCGGGCTGCCTCATTCACAAACGTTCACCAGCATCAGAGACTGGCGTCTGAGCGCCCCCTCCACTCCATCCACCCCTTCCACCCCCACCACCCTTCCCTTCCAGACCCCAGCCAGCCTCAGCACACCTGCTTATACACCTGAGCAGCCCAGCCTCAGAGCCAGCTCAGGTGAGAACAGAGGGTCCAGAGTGGAATAATGAAGTTGTGACTCTGTGACAAAATGTTTTATGACTAAATAAAGACTAGGGCTGTCAGAGGTTTTTTTTTTATTTTTTTTATTTTTTTTTTTATAAATATAAACAGCGTTAACAATGTTCCTAGTTTGATCCTTAAAACCTTCTGTAGTAGTGCAGGCTAAAGCCCAGCTGCTCGCATGCTGTTGCTACAGTAGAATCCATGATGTCATTTTCTGGAATTTGATATAGTAAATTATAAGTGAAGTAATCCATTTGTAAATATTTGTTGAAAAAAATAGCTTGTGTCATGTACAAAGTAGTTATCCTAAACAACTTGCTAAAACTGTGGTTTGTTGACATGGAGATGTGGAGGAGATAAATGAGTTATAATGACTCCAACCTAAATGTTTGTAAACTTATTACTTCAACTGCAACAAAAACATACCGAAATAAGACATTTAATAGATTAAATACAAGAAATTTCAATAAATGCTAAATTAATGTTCATCCAAAACAGGGGTGCTCAGTCTGGGTCCCGGAGATCTACCACACTGGAGAGTTCAGATTCAACACACCTGGCTCTAATATAGATTAGGTTTAGAGCTCCAGGACCAGGGCTGGGCACCCTTGCTCTAAATGTTTTACAAAGTCAGCATTTGAAGACAGTAAAGGACTCAGACAGCCAGTAAGTGGGTTTCCATTCAAAGGTTTCACACATTTTTATGTGAATTGCTGAAAGGTCAGTAAAATAAACTGTGAATTAATGGATGTTTCCACTAACTACAGCTATGCGCAAATTCTTGAAAATTATGTGACATGCTTAGAGTTTCATATTGTAGTTCATATAAGTACTCTGTGAATAAGATGAAAGTAAATGGGGGAAATCGTTCTTAGGATCAGATTTAAACAAATACAGTTAAACATCATTAACTGTGCAAAATCATGTATTTATTATTAAGTACTTAATCGTTTTACAGTCCTAAAAATGACCCAGTAACTTCTATCTTATTATTTTTGAAACAGATCTATATAATAGAAAAATAACCATTTATTTATTTATTTTTGGTAGTGTAGGACAAAAATAATATCTCCTTATGTTCTAGTTGCCATGTGGAAATGGTGTGACAGTTTGTTTTTGCAGTTCTGTTTAAGATTAATTTATTGGGCTATTTGTGGTCTTGCTAAACATGGTTTTCCAGGGTTTACATCTCCCGGCTTATCAGATTTGCTAATTTGTACGATTTTAGAGAAATTACATGTCAAGCTTAAAAGCTTAACATGGTTTGGAGGACCTCTTTTAAAAATGAGGCCTCAGTGGAGACATACTGGGAAAAGAAGAACATGCATGATACATCACAGCATTTGTCCTTTGTTGAAGACGTTTTTAATTTGGTTCTTTTTGTTTCTATCTCTGTGTATTGTGTGTATTATGTATTTGGTTTGTAATCTTATGCAATCTTTGGGGATCCTGTTTGGAATCCAGTCGAGTATGAGAGTAAGTGGTCAAACTTTTGGTGAATATTTTCTGTAATAATTGCTATAAAGTTGTAAGTAAAACCCTTCAACTCTTAATCACATCACAACTTGATCTATTTATGTTTTTTGTTGTATTTTCTCAGTAAGATATCTGGTATTCGTTTTTTTAAAAGTCAAATAAAAGTTTATTTTAGTTAAGATACTGGAGAAACAAGAGTCAGGAAGAAAATTATTATGTTGCCTAATGTTTAGTTGCTTCTCATGGAGAGTAGCTTACACTAGCGTTGTAATTTATGGCGGTTTCTGTGCTTGCCAGACATCCGCTGCTTACCAGCCTCTAAGCCTCTTGCAGAGCTATAAGCTTTTATTGGCTTGTCCCTTTCCTTTTGGAGTGTGTAGGCTGATGATGACTGAATCAGGGTGAGAGGACTTAAGCTGTAGGGACCTTGTGTTTTTGTAAGGGTGTTACATACTGTGTTCCACTGTAAAACGTAAAACTGTAATGTCTGTGAAGTACATAAGACAGACATACAGAGTACTACATACTCCATATTAGATATTTTGTCTGGGAAATAGGGTCATACATATGTTATGCTTTCTTTTGTAGTTAGAATAGATAATTTCATCAATATAAAGCAGTTTTAGACTGGGTGTTAATTGATGACTGTCTTTGTGAGAGTTTATGACCCTTTGTGCATATGCATGTCTGCGTGAATGTGTGTCTTTTCCATCTGGACATTCTCTCTCTACATAATGCCTGAGTGGTAAATTAACATGCTATGATGATGTGCTCTAGATAAACTGAGGAGGAGCATGCCCAACCTGGTGAGGGCTCCCAGCATGCCAAGTGTGCCAAGTCCAGCCAATCACACGGGTTCTCCTACGTCCATCCGGAATAGTCAAAGCTTTGACTCCTCCAGTGGACTTGCAAGACTACAGTCCTCCAGTAAGGCTCACTTTCTGCTGTAATGATAATTAAATAAATGTCAACAAAAGCAGACAGTAATCAAAAAAAAAAATAAATAAATAAATAAATAAATATATATATACACACACACACACACACACACACTTCTGAATTTGATGCCTGTAATGTTCCAAACAAGTAGCTGGGACAGGGGCATGTTTACCTCTGCGTTACATCACTTTCAATCACATCAATTGTAGTTGTGAAAGTGGATTTTTTTTTTTTTTTTATATTCTTCCTTGATATGACACTTAAGCAGCTCAACACTGGGGTCTCCATTGTCGTATATTGGGCTTTTGTAATGCACACATTTTTAGTGGGAGGAGGGTGTGGAATGCAGTGAGGCCAGTCTAGCACAACCAAGTAATGGTGTTGTAACACATGCAGAACATGGCTTTGCAGTGTCTTGATGAAACAAGCAGGGATGTTGAAAAGGACATCATCTGGATGGCAGCATGTGTCGATCTAAAATGCTTATGTACCCCTTAGCATTTATGGTGGCTTCAAGATGTGCAAGGTAACCATGCCATTGGCACTAACTGACCCCTCTAACCATGACAGACACTAACTTTTGAACTTTGTGTTGGTAACAGTTGGGATGATCCTTTTCCTCACCTTCTTCTTCTAGAGAACACAATGTCTATTATTTTGAAAAACAGTTTGAAAGGTGGTCCCATCATGTGATGTTAATGTGGAACATATAGGCTTACATTCAGCATGTTGGTTTTTAATGCAGTGCTGTCTGAAGGATCCAAGGTCACAGGCATTCGGTTATGGTTTTTGGTCTTGTCCCTTGCGCACAGAGATTTCTCCTGATTCACTGAAACTTTTAATAATGTTATGGACTATATATGGTGGAAATCCCTAAACTGTTGGACTATTCACTCATGCAATTTTTTGCAAAGTGGCAGCTGAGCCTTTCATGAATCCTCCTTTTAAATCCAATCATGATGGCATCACCTGTTACCTATTCACCTGTTTACTTTTGGAAAGTTCAGGTGTTTTTGATCATTCCCCAGACTTTCCAGTCTTAGTGTTCCTGTGCCAACTTTTTTGTAATGTGTTGCAGGCAAATTTGGAATTAGCATACATTTACAAAATCAATAAATTTGATAAGGTAAAATATCTCCTCTTTGTGCTGTTTTTAATCAAATCAGAAAGACAAATTACTGCTTTTTGCTTTTATTTGCATTTGACCTATTTGGGTGATCTCTTTTGTTCAGTTCCTTCTCCAGGGCAGCTCCAGAATCGGGTCCAAAGTGTTGGAAACTTCCCATTGTCTTCACGCCAACCACTTAAGGCCACTGCTTATGTTAGCCCCACTATTAAAGGGCCCTCCACCATGACGACATCAGCCAGTTCACAGTCACTGCCCAGCAGTGGCATTCCATTGCCCAGCAAAGGAGGCAGTATTCAGACGCCTGGCCGCAGCGGCCTCCCACGCCCTGCATCATTTATAGGGAGCAGCTCCACTCCTCGGAGCAAGCTCACTCAACCCGTGCGAAGGTAGTGAGGAGTTTAGCTTTATTTCAAAAATTTAATTCACATTGACAAGTAAATTGGAATTTTATTGTTTGTTAGCTAATTGTTAGCTAATGAGTACAATATCCTTTATAGGGCCAGATTTACAAAAGTGTGTCAAGAAAGAAAATCTTAAATGTGCTTTTTTTCCCCCTACACTGTCAATAGGTACTAAACTGTCACTGGGGTGGAACCCTCAAGAGTTTGTCTTCAGTACCTATAGTTGGAGAACATATTTGTACCAAATTCCATTACAGTTTTATTTTTAAATTATACTCCACACACCCTGTCTTTCTGTCCTGACTCCAGCCTTTTTATTTTATTGTTCTCCATTCAAACATTAAGTTATGAAAAGGTACAAATAAATACGTTCCCTGTGGTACACGGATGGATATTAGCTCACATGCTTTTAAAAGACTTTCTTAATAGAACTTCTTAAGTTTTGAGAACATTCTAATGAACTTCGTAGAGTTTATGTTAAGATCCGTCGTAAGCTCAAGAAAGCTTTCATGACCCCTGCCCCTGGTCCTTATTGGATTCGATTTGTCTCCCCCCAACCCAAATTTTTCCCTTTTGTTTTAAGAGGAGTAACATCTCATCTCTCTGTCATATAGAAGTAACTTTAAAAATGTCAATAGAGCATTGTTTTACTGTATACCTGTCGCTGAATATGCAGTTCTTTCAAACTAAAGTAAAAAAAAAACAATTCTGTTGTTTCTTCCATTAGTGCTATTTAGTTGAGTTTCCTAATTGCAATGTATAATATTGTATTCATTTTCTTTCTGTCTTCTCTGTCTTTCTCCTTTAGTTTGTTGACACCACCAAAGAGCCTGGCAACCCTCAGTGCCCTTCGGGATTCAAACTGGCGAGATGGCTGTTACTAACGGGTCAAGTATTGTGCAGGCCGACAGGACAGGGGAGACGAGGGAGCACCCTGCTGGCTGGGGCTGCTCACTACATCACTAAGTGTTCTTGCCGGGTGGGCTGGGAGGGGGAATGACTTTATGACTGCATTCATATCTGTGAATGGATAATGAGTTTAATCCCGGAGTTTTGCCTCTGTTCTGCTTGCTTTCAAAGCTCTGTATGCAAAAAAACAGATTCTGTTTAAATTCCTTTTGAGCTGCTAAAGGTCAAACAGAATTTTGACAGAATACAGAGCTAAACCACTGATGGTGTATTTTGACAACAAAATACAGAGGTAGTGCACTGCCAAACATCAGTTAATTCAGTTAACTATTTTTGGTGCTTTCCCAAAAGGAGAAACACTAAACATGCTGCTAAACAAATCTGGCAAAAAAGTGAGTCACTTGATATAGAGTGCATTGAATTTACAATTGCAATATAACTTCATTTTTGTAATTAAAATTATTTTAACCAATGACTTCACTGTTTGTGAGAGCATAAAAAATAATAATACTCTTAGTTAATGATTAAGTGATCTTTTTTTAAAACTCATTTAAGAACAGGTACACTGCATATATTCAATTTGAGAAACATAAAACACGACAGTGAAATGTATGAAATTGTTATTTAAAATTCTGTAATGTGTTTTTCATTATAATTATCATTTTCATTGTTTGGTATTACACTGTTCATATGTGGGTTTTTTTTTTGTTTGTTTGTTTCTTTCTTTCTTAAGCACTGAATTTGAAGGGTTAACTTGGACAGCCACAGATGTAGCATTGTATAAATCTTCCTTTCTGTGTTCGTAATATATAAAACACTTTATTCACTTTTGCACATTGCACTGGTATATGTATCACATTAACACATTTTTTCCACTTATAATGCTTTTAAAGAATGTGTGTGTGTGTGTGTGTAAAGCCAAAATAAAGGGGTTTTTATATAAGGTGTTTAATGGAGTCATTTTTTGTGATGGTGAGACTAGGATTTCCCAGATGGTTAGCTATATACAAAAAACAATGTAGGCAAAAATATAAATCTGTTAAACCTCAGATTAGACATTCACTTATACAATTTAATGACTTTTGTCTTAGTAGAAGAGAGAAAAATATCACTGGTGTAGAAAAGCATTACTTCCCATACCGGGAGTCGAACCCGGGCCGCCTGGGTGAAAACCAGGAATCCTAACCGCTAGACCATATGGGAGGTCTTAATACAGTTTTCACTTACTGCGGTATTATACACTGCGCCCCGCTTCATCCCCACACTTCATGCTTGGCTGTGTATAATAAAACGGTTGGTCTCTCCTGAACTGACTGCTGTTTAACCCACATTCTGTCTCCCGGCATCGGACACAGCAGCGCGCTCACAAGTGTCTGTCGCTTAATCACAACGTCATACTTGTGCGCCAAATGTGGACATGTTCAGTTATGTAGTTAGCATATAGCTCAGTTACAGTGTCTCCAATTATAATCCGAAGCAATTCAAAATGTAAGTACTCACTTTGCATGTAGCACTAGTGACATTTTTTTCTCAGATTCTTAGAAAGTGATGCATTTCAGCGGTTAAGGTAACTTTCTCTGTAACGTTACATTATACTTTAGCTGGCGCATCTAACTTTAGTTAGCTAACTAGTTAGCATTATGTAGTTAACGTTATACTGTAAATTAGACACTTGTGGCAATGACTCTTTATTTGGCGCCTGTTTTGTATTACAAATTCAGGTCAATAACATTATTCATTTGAGAAGGATAGCACGTTTGGTCCTGTAGCCCAGGTTTTCCGTCTGTTAGTGGAGGGTTTCCTTGTAAATCTCTAATTTATGATTTTAACCAACAGTTCACTGTTTGCAAGAACATGGCAAATAATCTCACCGTCTTTGTTTTCTTTTGTTTTTCGCTTGTGTGTAATAAAGGGCAGACTACTGGAAATCCCAACCCAGAAAATTCTGCCAGTATTGCAAGTGCTGGATTGCAGACAACAAGCCTGTGAGTAACGGTCCACTGCCCCAATGCTTCAGCAAATGATTTAGCTTGTTTTTATTTAATTTGATCTCGGTTATGTTTCTCTTCTGCTCATCTTGATAGAGTATTGAATTTCACGAGAGGGGCAAGAATCACAAACAAAATGTCGTCGCCAAAATCGACGAGGTAAAGGTTTTTAAAAACACACCTAAACTGCATGAGTAGCTACCCCTGACAGTATAACCAAGGTTTTCTGTTAGAAAAACTAGTTAGCATAACCATGCTGAGTGACCAGCTAAATTAGGAACAGACCAGCATAGAATTCATGTAGGTCTGTGTTTTTTGGGCAGGGTTAATGAGGTGAATAGCCACAAAATTAAGAAAGCAAATAATAAAATTAGGACACCTGCTCTATTAGGGATAGAGTCGAGTTACGTTATGACCAGCAGGGGCAGCTATACTGAAGGGGTAAAAACAGCAAGTTGCCAAAATAAGTTCACGCAATTTGGCTTATGGCCTGGGTTGCATTTGTGTAGAGATAAGAGGGTAGCTGTGATGAACCCTCTGCTATTGGATGATGGTGCCTAAACTACTCACACCCCTCCCTCACATGTTTCATTACAGATTAAAAAGAAGAGCATTGAAAAAGCCAAGAAGGAAGAAAAAATGTCCAAGGAGTTTGCAGCAATGGAAGAGGCAGCCATGAAAGCATACCAAGAAGACATGAAAAGACTACAAGCAGAATCAGGTAACTTTGTCAGTCGACAACTTGAGCCATAAGCAGGAAAAGGTGATCACTTTTGTATTCTGAGTATCACATGCGAATGCAGTTTCAATGCTTTTTCAGTTATTATAACTTTTCTACAAATTTGCAATTTTATAAGCACTCAGAATGTTTTGTGCTGTGTGTCATCCATGTTAGTTACTGTGACACACAGATTATCATTAAATGTCTCTTGTGAATGTTTTGAACTAGCCAGGTAACATCAGTAATACTCTATCAGTGCTATTAAGTGGTAAAGCCATGTAGAAAAAAAATCCACATCGACTGCATCTCCAAAGTTTTTATAGTTTATGGAAAATGCATTCATTGTAGTGCATGAATTATTAATTTATGTAAATAGAATAGTCTCTTACAGAACCACACTGGTTTGCAGTTTTACTTTATATGCTTAGATATAGTTTGGGCACTTTTGAACAGAGTTTGGCAAATTAAAGGGAAGCAAGAAACGTTTGGGCAGGTGCAATAAAATCATAAGCTAGTTTTGGAGTGTAACTTTAAATAACTACCTGATCAGATATTATCCATTAGCTATAAAGGGGCATTTGATGTGTAAAAGGTTGAACATGATGTTATTGGTTAATATTATTTTCTCCGCCTGCTGGTGCATAGTAATGTAATCACAATGCAGAAGACATTTTCGGAGCTGGAAAAGTAATTTACATTATTGATCAAATATTACAGGAAACAAGAATCTTGTCTTTTAAATGATGGATTCTTAATCACAATATGGCTAGTGAATTGAACTGACAAGATAAAAAGATATATATTGATTTCCGGTTACTTTAAAGAAGGAACACTTCTATCACACTAATAATGCTGACATTAATGCTAACATTAGCAGCGTAAAAATGAATCGTTTCACCCAGTCATAAAGCAATTAACATTTATTCGATCTTATGTAGGTGCCTCAGAAGCTCCTGTTAAGACTCGGACAAAAGCTGAAAAAGCTAAGGTTGAAGTTACTATAGAAACCAGCCGCAGCAGTGAATCAGATGCCTGGGTACAGGGGACAACTGATGATGGACAGACATACTACTACAATACACAGACTGGAGGTCAGCAGCTCTTTAATTGTGTTTTTACTGTACGTCACAACCAGTACAAAACAATAATTGCTTGTGATCTTATTTATTATGTGGGTCAGTCCATGTCTGCCATGGGATTTACTCTTCAAATCCAGCACATTTTAGTACTTTGCTTGTTCAACACCAGAACTGATGAACCCTGCTCTACACCAATGATTTAACGGAGTGTCCTTGATTTTAGAGTCTCAATGGGATAAACCAGAAGGGTTTCAAGGTGAAGATGTGTCACCCGACCAAACTGGGGTAAGTATGGTCATTTACTTGTTTAGCATCATTAAATGGAAGTATTAAAGGTACATAGTGAGTACATTGTTTGTTTTCAGCAGGCTTCTTCAGGCAGTGCATGGATGGAAGCTGTGAGCCCAGATGGATATACATACTATTACAACACAGAGACTGGAGGTGAATCCATTTACACACAGTACTTCAAGTTAAAATTCCACAATGCTTTTGACACTCAACACATCTGGAATTCACTATATAAGCAGAACTGCACAAACTGATGTTGACTAATATGTACACTCTTAGGAAAAAGGTACCCAACTGTCACTGGCACAGTGTACATTGTTGTCATCTCTTGGTATCTCACAAAATACCCCACTGTCACACAAAGTTGCTCAGACTTTTTTGGACTTCAAAAAACAAGTCAGATACATTTGATGTTATCTGAATCCAACAGAGTCTAGCTGGGAAAAGCCAGCTGATTACTCTCCTCAAGAGGGAAGTTCTGCTGAAGAGAATGCGGAACAGGAGGCCATATCTACACCTCAGCCAGAACCTCTCTCCTCCTCAGAGGACAGTTCTGAGGCTCCTAAAGAGGCTGCAGAGCCAACAGAGACCAAGCAGTCCAGAGTTCCCAAAATCAGTTTCAGGGTGAGAGTTATTCATAAATTACACAAATGTTTATCTTATACTTTAAAGTATTGCTTAAAACATTCATACTGCATTTCTTTACATGCACTACTGGTCAAAAGGAGTGTCCAATATCCCAAAAACGCCATAAGACTTTAAAATATATTTATGATATGTAATACCTCACAATTTTTGTGCTGAGGTTTAGGGCAGCAGTGGTGCCTCACTCACAGCATTGTCAGGATACAAACTTGTAGTAAGTTTTCACCTGACAATGGGGGGAAACGTTAAACTATACAGCTTAGCAGCCTCTTTTAAACCTCTTTTTAATGAAATATGCAGTTAGGCAGTGTTCCAGATAAAATTATGCCCAGTCTTAAACTAAAAATAACATGAGGATGGCTAATTTAATTACTGATGATACTCCCAGTAAGCTCAGAAAAGATTGTTGTGTTGTAATTTATCATAATAACGATATTATATCATTAAAATTATCATTAAAATTTTAAATGAAAAATGAAAAAAAAAAAACTCATTTTAGTCTAAAACCCCAAATAAGTCAAAAGTCTGTTTTTAAAGTGAAGGGTAGCCATTTTGAGTAAGATTTAGTAGATTTTGTATTTTTGTTAATGTTCTATTACAGTGGTCACCAGCCCTCCTTCTGGAGATCTAATGCCCTGCATAGTGTAGTTCCAACCTGCATCTACCTGCATTTCGTAACGTTAGTGCATCTGATCCAGCTAATCAAGGAAGTTAATGAGCTGATGCAGGTATGGCAGACTATGGTTGGAACTAGACTCTGCAGGATGGTAGACCTCCAACACCTGGGTTGGTGACCAATGTTTTATACTAAACTTAAAGCATTGTCCAATATGTTATATGGAAAAGGTTTCCAGCAAGTGTTTTCAAACTTTTGACAGTAGGTATGTTGTGTGACAAGTCTGGATAATGCTGAAAATGATCTAGCATTCCTGGTGGAATTTAGAATGAAAACGGTATATTCTCTTCAGAAAAGAAAAGAAGAGAGAGCTCCATTAGAAGAGAAGGCAGAGAAAGAGCCAAAAGCAGATGAAGAAGCACAGGAGGAGGAAAAAGATGTAGTTGGAGATGATGCTGGAGTAGAACCAGCTGTACCTGCAGAAGAGGAAGAAACCCCTGCAAAGAAACCTAGGAAGACAAACCCGTACGGAGAGTGGGAACAGATTCAGGAGGAGGAAGACCCCTTGTGAGTACAGTGCAGTCTTGTTTGACCTTAAGTCATGTTATACATCATATTTAAAAAATGTTCTTCTAGAAGTAGCATGTCATTGGCCTCAACTCATGAGACCTGTTAAAAAATAGTGCAGACACATACTGCAGTATTGTACTTAAACACTACTAGTCTTTAATGTCTGTTGCTTCTGTATGCAGTGAGAATGTAGATTTGCAGCTGCCACAGACAGACAGTGGAGTTGCTGCATCCATTCCCTCCGACTTGCCCTCAGAACCCAAGACCAAATTTAAGGAACGAACCATCACCTCCCTGGGTAATGAGAGCAGTGCAGGAGCCACGTTCAAGAAGAGGAAGACGGAAAATGGAAAATCCAGGAGCTTTCGACAAAGAGGGAAGGACGATTGAGAGCTTGATGCCTAAAGAGTTTGTTTCCACAAAGTTATGGATGAACATTATTGACAGGATGGACAGATGGATCCGCATAGATTCTGCAATTTAAATGTTTTTGTCAACACAGATGATGGCAACATCCACGGAATATCAGGTTAAGTATCAAAACATATTGCAGACTTCTTTAACTGCTGTCCCTCTCCACTTTAGAAATGTTTGTTGGATAAAATTAAGCCCGTTTTTTATAGCTACATGGATTTGGTCATCTTTTAGATTTTGTAATTGTTGCCAGTTTGTGATGTGTATGAGAATTATTTTTCTAAAATTGGAAAGAGGAATTAACTTTTTCATGTTATTAAACATTCCTCTGTGATTTCATGTTGTCCTTAGTAGCTAATGTTTATGTTCTAATATTTATACTTATTGTGTAAATCTGTACAGAGTGGCATGAAAAGCATGTGGTTTTCTCCAATTTTTTTTTAAAATGGGTATTCACAAATGATAAATTGTAAAGATGTTAACACTGTCAGATATGAAAAAGTAATGCAGAGCTTTCACTGTTTTATAGTCAGTTTTTAAGATTCTAAACTTCATCAGTCACAAATAAATGAATTGCAAAGAAGATTCTTCTTCAGCATTCATGTTCATGTGCCTATTTGCCATAGTGCTGTTTTGGAAACATATGGTCGCCTTTGCAGGCGAGGAGGCATGCTGTTTGTGAAAGATAGGCCGGCCGCCGATGTGTAAGCGTGTGTGCGTGCACTTGAGTGAGTGCACTGAGCTGATAGTCTCTCCACACCCTCAATTAATAATCATGCTAACTCATACTAATGAAATAACGAATTACGATGGTCCTGAGCATTTTGATGAGACTAAACACACTGCATTCAGACAAACAGCTTCAGTTTTTAAATAAAGACACACTCATGTCCTGTTTTTCTCCTAGCCCAGATCCAGCCTTTAGTTTTAATGCTTGGGTGTTTGTATGTAATTTTTAGCAGTCCCAGCAATGTGCAGCGGGACCGTGTTCTTTCATCTTGTTATTATTGCTGTGCTGTGCTTGAAGGTGATATTTAAAATATGTGTAAGTCACAAAGTTGTAGAGAACCATTTTATGATCATGATATAAAAGCCTATTCATGTGTGATCCAAGAGAAAAAAATATCGCCTATTTTTTTGGTTTCTTCTTCTGTTCGTGGCAGCAGTATAACAAAAATTTGACTTCTCTCTTTCTCTGTCAAAAGTTTAACTGAATATCTCACAACAATTCCTTATTTTCTTAAAATGTCTTAGTATCTTAAAATAACTTGTTTCAAAAAATTGACTTAGTATCTTGCAATTACGTAAGTCCTAAAAGACCATGGATTTACATTTTTTTCCCTATTTTTCATGACTGAATGAATTGTCACTTGTTTTCACATCTTGTGACATTATCATAGCAAAATGAATACTCAAGATCTTGAGTTATTTACATGATTAACTCAACGATGTTTTATGAAAATACCATTAATTATGACATATTAATAACTCAAAAGCCTGAAAAAACAAAAGTAACTTATTAAAGAAAAACAGATAAAAAAAACAAGTAAATCTAATCCCTTCCTTACAAAATAATGACTTTTCATAGTATTACTTTCTTGAAATAATGACATTTTCTCAAACTTACTTGTCTCAAGCTTTTAAGATTTGCACTTTATGTCTAAATAATGAGTTACAAGTTGTGAAAATTTGAACATGTTGCTGCTAGAAACAGCAAAAAACATAAAAAGCAGAATTAGTTTTTCCACTATGTTGCAAACTGTATTCCTCAGCATTTTATAAAATGTTTTAGCATTTCCAGGCATTTTTTAAAATTCAAAGTAAACAGACAACTTAGCAGTAAACTCCAGCATTCCCTGTTAATGTCATAAGATTCATGACACTGTATGTTTGACAACCAAGATACTCATGTTACAAATCCTTTTTAGAAACGAATTTGAACAGAAACTCAACATATATGTTTTCAGTTGTTTATTCAACTTACACCATCAAATCTTATACATTTTATGGACAAAAACAGACTTGCTTACTCTTACAGATAATTGGGTGTTTTGACAGACTTGCACTTTGCTACAGTTCTCAGCCTCTGAGCGGGAGACCCAGGTGAGATATCAGTCACAGTGCCAAAGAGTCAGGACAAAAACAGTAGCTTGTGACTATGCATGACCACCATCAGCATGATCTGACTCTGTGGTGTTCTTCACCAACTCCAGAAGGGCCTCTGTCTCTGCATGGTCCTGCAGCTCCGATATCAGCTCCTCCAGCAGCTCACCACCACTCATAAACTCCTGACAGAAAGACAGGCGAGACATTTAATATCAATGTCAACTGTACGACTCTCTGTGAATAGCTTTCTGACATAATATACAACATGGACTGCCTGTCAAAAGTTTAAGTTTAAATTTCTAAATTACTCAGATACTTTATGATAAAGTAAAAAATTCCTTGTTAGCTATTTTTGAATACCATAGGTATATTTTTGCAACACTCAGCTTCATGTTCATCAACGTGACATCAATGGTATGGAATAGATTTTGCATAAATGATTTGACATTGTTCTTTTCCAAACTATTGTCGAGAGCAAATGAACACCTAAAGGTTTTGAAGGATTTGAGTGGTGATAAGGGCAGACATAGCAAGTGGATAAAATGCAGTGACATTATTCCCAAGAGAGTACCATCTGAAAATTTACACAGGTGGTATTTACTTTTCTCAAAATAAATCTGGTTACTCTTTATTCATCTTCATTATGTGAAACCAGCAAAGAAATCCAGTTCATTTGTATTGAACACATTTAGAACAGCCAGGTGTCCTCAAACTTTTGATGGCCAGAGTACAATTGATTCGAGCAACCACCTTTATGTCACGGGTAACATAGCCAATCCGGTGGTCTGTCACCCTGTCCTGGCTGAAGTGATAAGTCCGTATTCTTTCCGACTGGGATCGAGTTCCCACCTAAAGACAGAGCACACAAAGGCTTAGCAAACAAATTCAACATAAGGCATGTTCAGTACAGGTAGAGAGAAATTCCATTATTTTTTCAAAAATTCTGCATGATTCAACTGTTAGATGTAAACAAAGACAATTTAAACACTGTTGTCTCCTCCTTTAAATACCAATCTTACATTTGAAATAGAGGGCGGTAAAATGGCCCAATTCCAAAATCCTAAACTTAAATTATAGTCTTGACTTATTAATATTTATGCCTTTGAAATTTACATACACCAGCCCACGTTCTAGTCCACCAGGTATCAACGACAATGGAGCAACAGCAATGGAAATGGCGGACTATTTCAAGAAACTTTACCATTTCAGGCTGTGAAGGGATATCTGTACTTTTCATACCTTTCCCAAGGAACTGAACTGTCAGCAGACAGTGGTGATGTTTAAATAAGGCTGAAGTAACCTTAACTGAATGTCCTGTTCCACCTCAAATACAACAGCTTTTACAGGTGCCAGAATGTAACTGCTGCACCATTTAAGGTTTAAGGGAAAATTCGCAAAACAAGCTGGCCAATGGGAAGCCAACTTCAGCTCCCATTCATTTAATGGGATCCTTGACAACTTTAATTCAAAGTTGTTAGTTTGCTCTGCACATTTCACTCTAGACAGTTTCTCAAATCTTGGACAATATTGAGCAGGCTTTGCTCAGCGTTTCACACTGAAGAGATGGACAGTACCAACTTTACTAGCTTCACAACTGCAACAGCCATCTGTACATAGCTGGCCACGCTGTGTGATTTTATCCACTTTTTAATCGTTGAAGCCAAATTATCTTCAGTTGAAAGTTTCGTAATGAGCTAACAACTAATTTACTTTGTGTCGTTGATATTGAAAGCAAGCAGCTAGTACAGGTAGAGTTGGCTACTAGCAAGCTCCAAGTTACTAGCAGAGTTAATGCTGGTTACGTACGTCACCGTGGTTATGTGAATAGTGGATCATCGCCACGGTGGTGCTAAATGTGAATGTACCTCTGCTGTGCTATGGTGAACTGAGAATGTATGCCAACTAGGTCACACTAGATGTTAGATGTTGGAAAAGGTCCAGATTCCAGTCCAGGAGTCCAGGTGGATGTCTGATGCTTATATACCCATACTTGCACAGGGTGTGTCATATACAGCTTGGGTATATAAGGGCTTGGCACATGCTGTACATTCTCAGGGACCTGGCTTTTCTCACTACTCAGAGAGACCAGGAACCCTGGTGGTCATCCACTATACAAATAACCTTGATTATATACATAACCAGCATTAAGTTTCATATCTCCTGACTCCCAGGGTGGTGCTAAAAGTGGATAACGAGTACTAACAGCATCACGAGGAGTACCTAGGAACAATGCCTCTAAGAAGTACCGCACAAAGTCATTACAGAGAATGCTTATGAATGTGCTACTGATGCCCGAAACATTGTTTTACCATAGACTTGAGATAAGCTTTTAGCCTAAATGTATTTTTTATATAAAGAAAACTTTTCACTCTCATCAACATTGCATATAAAACTCTGAAGACACATACAGATTTACTAGCCCTTTTCGATAGTAAATAAATGGTTATATTTGCATTATAGGAACCATGGTCACAATGTCCATCACCACCAGTGTAAAGAATTTGGAGTCAGTACGTTTTTAGAACAGAGCATTTCACATCAAACCGCACAAAATGATTATTCCATCTCAATGACTGAATTGTGCAGAAATAAAAAAAAATCTCTTTAAGTTTGTTAAGTGTAGTTAAAACCTAATGGAAATTAGATTGGTGATTCACAAACTTCACCCCATTAAATAATCTGATTCTAATCAATTGTAACAAACCTGCTGTTTACGTGCCGTGTGTCTCTCCTCCACCTGCCGGCCCAAGTTGTTTTGGTACAGCCGTGCTTTGAGGATACGCATTGCTGTGTCACGATTCTGTAGCTGAGAGCGGGACTGTTGGCATTCTGCTATAGTGCCTACAACAAATCAAGAACACACTGCATAATGTCACAACATTGAAACACCATAACCATGCCCCAGTAATCACTAAATAATATCTGTTGTAATTACGTATTACAAAAACACAAATTATTAAAACCATATGGCTGAACCTGTGGGGAGGTGAACTATTCTGACAGCACTGTCTGTAGTGTTGACACTTTGTCCACCAGCTCCTCTTGATCTAAATGTGTCTATTCGCAGGTCTTTAGGATCGATGGCTATGTCCACCTTTGAGGGATGATCACAACACATGAAATGTTAATCATGCATTCCATGACTGGGCTTGTGAAAATCTGCACAGTTAAAAACTAATCTGAACCAAAACTCTGAAACAGTCATGTTACATTATTACATTATTAGTAAACTTACCTTGCCACAGTGGTGGTAAGCTACAAATTACTAAAATCACAGTACTTCAGTACATTTTACCCTCATGGTAAAGCATAGTAATCAAAGTGATTTTACTTCTGAGTTCATGTGTAATAATGTATTCAACTTGGTCATTTGGTAATCAATTTTTAACTGCAATGACCTGGTTGGCTAACTACTTTTAGCCAACTAACAACTTTGTGTCTTTACTTTTTAAATTTGTAGTTTTAAAGCAGAGGTAGGAAACTGAGGGCCAGAGGTCAGCACGGTTTGGTGACTTCCCTGTTCTAGAAAACCAACCAAACCTGATAATTAGCTGATTAGCTGACTCACCAAACTGTGTAGGAATTCAGCCCAACAGGACCAGAGTTCCCCAGCCATGTTTTAAAGTTTTTTGTTTTTTTTTTATATATTCTGTTTCTAATGCCTGCTAGATATCCAATTTATCTAATGTACTAACATTTAAGGTAAGCTAATGCTTAGACCAATAAAGCCAAGGAAACTTTGAGCTTTGGACTATCTTTGTTAACTTGTGAAATTGCTTGAGCAGTTTTTCAGTGGGCATCTTATTTACACTTACATCCCCCGGGAAAAAAAGGAAGTTAGTATTTAACTGAAAGAAGTTCTGGAGACAAATAAGAAAACTTCTACACTGACAGACTGCTGAAAGATATGTAAGCATTATGCAGACGGGTGTGAGGAAAAAAAATCTCAGGAGCCGATTTACAGAAACAGGAGAAAACTGCTCACACTGATTTCAAACATGACTTAAACATGCATAGGAGAAATACACAAGAATAAGATCTTATTTTAAATATTTTCCTCTGGTTACATGTAAATAAGTTTTTTTAGTACTCTAGTGCATGTCTAAGTTGTTAGTAGTCTAAGATGACCAAAAATAGACTTACATCACTAGGATCGGGCAGAACTATAACAGTCATGGTTCCAGTATGGATACGCTGCATGCGGGATGACAGTCCCACCTCAGGGATCCTTTGGACCCTGTGCGTTCCACCCTCAAACTTCAACCAGCGATACACATTCTCTCCTATAATCCTCACTGCTGCATGGTGAAGACCTCCTAAGATGAATGAAAGCACGTATCAGTTAACCAATCTGCAAAACATTTATTGTACATGCTTCGTAGAATGAATGAATGTAAGTATATATCTTATTGTGCATGACAGTAAGCTGAGCATGTAAGGAGTTATTTTGTAAGAAAGAAAACACAGAGGGTCTGTAGGGTCTGTGGGGAAATAAAAAGAGGAAAAGGAGACATGTACTGTACCATAATCAGATGAAGCATAACTGAACACCTCAAAGTCCCAATCTTTATAGCTGGCAAAGCTCTGGTACATATCAAATATCTCCCGCGTGAACTGCTGACATATGTCCCCTGAGGCAAACCAGAGAGACTATAAATAATAATAATTAAATATTTATTTTTACCAAATCAAGAGGCAAAGAACAGGTGGGAGGAATACTCACCTCCAGTAGTTCTCCCTGCTGCAACCTCTAGAATTACACTACTGTCATCTTGCGCATCACTTGGCACCAGTGTCTGTATCAACTGAGAAACAGCTGTTTATGTCGTGACTCTGTATGATATTTATATTAATAATAGACTACAGCAAATGGCAGCAAAGTGAAAAAAACTCACTTTTCTATTTAACTTCTTTATTCTTTTCTCAATTTCATGTTGTTCGTCTCTTAAGAGCTCCACCATCTGTCTGTCTTCAGTTTCTCCATTTGTGGTACCTTTTATATATCATATAAGAATAGTTTTTAACTGACGTGCGGAAAATTAACAGCCAAGCCAAAAACGTGTGTCAAAAATTTCGAAAATGTCAAAATGTCAACAATGTCAAAAAGCTCACTAAGCATCTTATTGTGAATTGGCGACCCCCACCGGCAGCGTAAAATAAAGTAAAACTGCCTGACACCGCAAAGCATTTGAGGACACTTACTCTGCAGATGAGCCTCCACCTCTGCCAGCTCCTTAAGTGCACTCTCACAGCTCTGAAATGTGTCTGCCACAGACGACAGCTCGACCAGTCTTCGGTTTAAAATCCTTCTTTGAGAGTCGCTCACAGCTTCACTCTGTAAACTACTCGAAACAGATCTGTATTCGCCCAGCAGCCGCTGCAGGTGTCTTTGGACTGCCTCATTTCTCAGCAGGTCCTCTCCTTTATAGCCTTTGTAGCAGTATCTTCGTGCCAGGTCGCCACCGCTGCATATCAACGGTCGAATTTTTGAAACTCGTTTTCGAGCAAATGGTGCCAAAGTGGTTGAACAGGCTGTAACGTTGTTTGAAGGAAAGCTTAGCACACACAAACGTGTCCATCTGTGTGCACTCATGACACCTCTTTTTCTAGAGGGCTCGTCTCCAGTCCATGTGAAATTACAAACTAACAACTAAAAAAGTCCCCGCACAGACCTGAAACACCACGACATTAAACACCTCACTAGCACAAACCGAACCAGTCGTAGCAGCAGTCAAAGGCTTAACTAGCAGTTAGCTGGTTTTGGCGAATAACGTTATATAAACAGAATAAAAAACAACCCAGTTAGAAGTTACCGTAACAAAAGGTGTAATAGTCCAGCGACGTCATGAAATAAATGTGTAGTTACACTTGAGAGGAAAACGGTGCACATGGAGGATTTTTGATGGGCAAGGTCAATAGGAAGTAGTTAAGTGCTTGGGTTTCTGGTATATGTAGTTTCCGGCCAATGGGAGGCCTCTGAGATCGTGCGTCCTTTATTTATGAACAGCACTAAACAAAATTACCTTTAGCGAGTAATACAGTGTTTTGTGTGTTTTTTTAAAGTTAACAATGTTATTTAATGTAATAAAGAGATTTTTGTGGAAGCATTTTCTACTGTGATCATTCCAAAAGAGAAAAGAATTGAGTCATTGTGTCATTTGTGCTGGAGGTGCATGGTTTTATCCTGAAGCAGCAAAAATATTGGGGTAGGAGGTGAAATGACAATAAACAAACAAACAAACAAACATGCACACAAACAAATGGCCTCATCTCAGATATTTTTAATGCCTCAATGATCCAGGTAGAAAGGGTCCAGAATTTTAAACCAAACATTTTTCAGTTTGCACTGACATCACTTCTGATCATAGAGACCATTAAAAGTTTCTGTCGGCATCCAGTCATCACTAATGGTATTTCGTGTTTTCATGAAGGATTTATATCACAGCGGAAAGGATTCCAACGGTGTAGCAGGTGTTCTGGGAATGATTTCAGATGCTTTTGATGGTTTCCTGGGATTCAAAGGTATCCTACAGGAAACTTGATTTGTCTTGATTGGTAACCATTAAGCCAATTCCCATTAGAATGCAAAACCATCTGGTTTTAATTCCAATGGTTGTAAAGGTCTATTTTCAGCAGGGATAAGCATACTGCCGAGTACTGAGTCTCTCACAAATGTATGTGACATTACAAATGACAGCATTTTTCTAGCATTTTCTTGATTCAAGAGATAAAGGGCACTCCGCGCATCATAGCAATCTCAAATAGTTTAAATAATTTGCTGGTCCATGTCAGATTCTGTAGTTTTTAAATTAATTCATACCATTATTCATATCCCTTTTGCCACTCCAAGGTGTATAAATGAATGTGTATCACGTATAACATAAAAAATGCATCATACAAACACTAATATTCATAACAATGTTCACTGGCCAACATTTTATACTGACAGATCAAGAAGAAATAACATCAATGATGGAGAAAATCTCTGAGAAGAAGGTTTCAAATTGCTTGGTCAAAATAAAAGATGTTTTATAATAGCCTTTTAAAGTATTCTTTCATGCTAAATATCCTAATAGATATAGACCACTTTTTAGTTTTTTTTTTTTTAAGATTTCTTTATCGATTCATAAACAAAACAATAGCAATTACTGTGAAGCTCACAGAAACTGTGAATCATTCTTAGACTCCCATCCACTCTCTGACTAGCCTAAGAGTTACTTAGCATCTAAAGCCAGATAAGACCAAGGCTCCTTAAAACTATCTCGTCATTGGCCAACATAGTCTTTTAAAGTATTCTACCACTCTGTATAACCTAATAGATACAGACTACTTTAAAAGATTTCTTTATTAATCTATAACCAAAACAAAAGCATGGGCTATAAAGCTTATAGACCTTGGGAATCCAGCTCGGTTTCCCATCCTCCCATCTCCCAAATGAATGCATTTTGGTATATAAAAATGTTTAAGTATTTACAAATTATGATTTTGCTCAAATGCTTAATAGTAACACATTTAGTTTGGACTCTCTCAGAAACGCCCTCTAGCGTTTAAAAAACCCAGAAGACATGACTGAGCGGCAGTTCTCCTCACTATACATTCTCTGGAGATGTTTTTCTTTGTCAGTAAGTCAGAGTAGTGGCATGCATGTCAACAGGACTATACATGGATTCATTTTTATACATATCATGTAAACAGGCGTGGTACAAGGGGTGTGCTAGGAATACTTCACGATTGTGTGTCAGGAACCCCTAGAATAGGGGTTGGCCCCGGAGCCGCATGTGGCTCTTTTACTGCCCTGTTGTGGCTCCACAGCAGAATTAGATTTTTAGGTAAAAATAAATTAATCCTCCTTGGCAGTAAAAAAAAGCTCTGCTGATCCCTGAACACAGTTTTAATCATAATAAATAGTCTTTAATGCTGTAGTTAATGTAGCTTATAACTGCTAATTCACCCTTTAACCCTGAAGGTTGGCACGCAGACTGCTGTTTACCACAGCAACACAGACAACAGTCTTGCCTAGCTAGTAGCTAACGAAAAGGCAAAGAGAAAGAATTAATACAAACATCGAGAATTTGGAGACAAATGGACTTATTTGCATTTATAATCACTTCAGCTGGTTTCCTGATAAGTTTGATCTGCAACAAGAAACTGTCAAACACTAAAAAGCCCCGAAGCTGAAATCAGCTTCTCATATGCCAGGTTCTTGTTTAAATTTTCCCATTCCCTTAAAAAAGCCAGCAAATGAGAAGCTGACTACAGCCTCATAAAAAATTGAACGTTGAGAGACCTTTTACAAGAAATTATTTCACTTTTAAAGAAAAGTTTCCTGCAGGAGCTGAGCTATAGCTTAAAGCAGAGCAAGTCTCTGTTTTTGTTTATATTTTTTTGCCTATACTAGGACATTAGCACATACTGAGGCATATTTAGAGCCAGGATGGTAAAATGGACATAAAAAGATGTGGCTCCCAAGGTGGTTTGATTTTTGTTGAAAGGACAAAATGGCTCTTCTTCACATTTGGGTTGCTGACCCCTGCCCTAGAAAATTGTTCAGCACACTGTTAGCACCCCCTGAATATGTTAATTGGCCTTTCCATGCAATTTACATACATTTAATTAGACTACCAGTTCAAAAATCCTTTATACCTCGTACAAGATATGCAGACTCATGCATAATTACTGTGCGTACCTAAGTACATGTGCACAGCCTTTAGTGTACTGTACTGTAATGTTTTCACGTGACAGTGGCACATGACAGTTTGATATGCAGCCCCCAGTGCTACACGACAGTGTGAAAAGCAGTATGTGAAGGTTATTACTCTTGGTATGCAACAGTACAGTTTGGCTCTCCGCTCCAGTTTTTCCTGTTATTAGAGTAATTGCAAGGCAAACAATGTATTGTCATTCCAACTGTCATGTAGAACCTGTTATGTACCACTGTAATGATTGCCACAGAAGGCTAGGGGGCTCTTATCTCACTGTCATGTGCTGCTGTCACATAGGCCAAAGTAACTGTAATGACTGTCACGTAACACTAGGGGACTCTTATCACACCAGCAGTGCCACTGTCATGTATGCCCATGTAGACTCTGTTCTGTAGGACTGTCACATAAGCCTTGTTGGCTCTTTCCACACGGCCATGTGCCACTGTCTTGATGGCCAAGCCACTGTAATGACTGTCACAGTCTGTTATAATTTGGTACAGAATCTCACTGTCACAGTACAATACACTTGGCATCCAATGAGCAGCGATGTGTATATAAACCCTGCCATTATGGATCCTAATAATGTCCTCTACAAATGCTGCAGCTGCAGCTTGGTGTATGCAACAATTGAAGTTAGAAGACATGTTTGTCATATTTAAACCCATTTCATCAGACTCTGAAAATTTTTCGAAAAGGACTCCAAGAATGGCCTTCTCAGCTGCCATATTTGTAACAATTCCGTAACATAACCGTGTTCAACGCACTACCATTTCCATTAATCAATGTATTAATGTATTAATCAAAATATCGCAGTTGCAGGCCAACTGTATGTCATCATTTTGAGACGGCGCACAGTGCAGACAGTTAACCAGAGATGGAGAGGTTTCTCGGGGCGCTTTCTCCTACCTTGTTCGTTGCGGAACTATCAAACTTTATTCTTTAGTTCACTATGTTTTGACGTGTTTGAACACTCAACCTATTTTCGGGTCTGCATCAAACAGCTGAACCGGTCCAGCAAAAACCTGCGGGTCCCGGTCCGCTACCGAGCAACCCCTGTTCAGTTCGCTGCTGGTGGGAAGCATTTTATGATCAAATGAGGGAATTCATCAGTAGAGCTGGCTTTCCTCTTCCTCAGCACTGTATACTTTCAGTATCATCTGCCTGTTTTAACGTCTGACTCTTTACAGACTTACTGCTCTCATATTGTTCCTGCAGCTCGAACTGCAGCTGGTAAAAACGACAGATGAGCCATAAAATAATTGCAAAGATCAGCGTTCGATTTCTTGAATAAAGTTTGCCTCCTCAGGATTTTTGTTATAAAGCTTAATTTTGCCTCAGTGACTTTCATCAAAACAACTTCATAACAACTTCATTGGTGAAGACATTTCCGTGGAGTTTTCAGCATGGCAACAAACGCTGTAGCTGTCAAATTTATTAATCATAATTAAGATTTGGGAACAACATGCTGCCACTTGGTTTGCCCAAGCTGTGGCTCAGCCATTTTGAAAATCACAGAGGATGAAATGAAGTATTATTTTGTCGTGGCCATGCGCCTGCCACAGTTCTCTGGTTTTATCATATGCGCTTCGGAGCCAAAGCCAAGAAATGCTGTTCATCCTGCAGCTTCAAGGGACCGTGAAACAAAGTTCAAGCAGCCTACTCTTTCTCACAGACACTGACACCTGCCATTGTTTCCTCTGTGACACAGGCACCCAGGTAAGTGTCTTGCCCGTGTCAGACTTGGATGTGAAGTCAGGGTGCATGGACCTGGTCTGCAAGGCCACCAACAGCAGCTCCATTCCCATGTATGGGCAGTGGTCAGTGCAATTGAGCTTTGGAGGGCAGTGGTTCAAGTGGAACTTTGTGCTAGGCCCTCCTAGGTGCTGACTTTCTGCATGTCAAGGAATGTTAATGTTAAGAATAGAGGCCTCATCAGTCCAGAGACATTCAGCTCTCTCCCATGTTCACTCAGCTGGTCCGGTTCTTTCAAGTTGTCCAGCACACTCTCTGTCTCAGATGATTTCTCGCTTCTTCTTGCTGAGTTCCCAGGTTTGATGGACCCCACATTCATACCAGACAGCAGCAAGCACGGGATCAAGCACCACTTCACCACTGCTGGCCCGTACATCCATGCTTGCAGCAGGCGCCTGGACCCAGCCAAGCCCAGTCTTGCTAAAGCTGAGTTTGACATGTTGCAGCACCTCGCGCCTGTGTGTGGGTCCAACAGCCCATTGGCCTCGCCGCTACACATCGTCCAGAAGCCAGGTGGTAACCATTTATAATTTTGCTTGCCCTCTCACAGTTAAAGCTCCACAGGAGTTCGTGGGCATGGTAAACTTTTACTACCAGTTTATCCCACGGGTGGCCAGCCTCATGTATCCTCTCCACAAGGCACTCAAAGGCTAACTGCTAAACACATGGTGGACTGGATTAGAGAGAGTCTCCTGCCACCCCCAAGTCAACCATGAGTCATGCTGGGCTTAAATTGGCCCCCAAGGAAGAACTTTAGGCCTCCTCAAGCTCGAGCTTGTCTATGTCAGGTGATGTGGGTTCCCACAGACTTCATCCCATGTGCTATGGTCCCTTGGTCTGCCAGTCATCAGCAGTCAGCTTTTCATGAGTTTTCAAGGTCCTTTACCCCTGTGCCCATACCTTGGGCTAAGCAGTCCCATGTTACACCTTCTTTGCACAATGCAGGCTATTTGTTTGTTCAGCATGATACACACCGGGACCCCCTCTGCCCTGTCTACAATGGCCCGTTTTGGGTTCTGCTACCCATAAAGTTCTTCAAGGTAGATGTTGGACACATTCCTGACAGTTGGACCGTCTCAAGCTAGCCCATCTGGACTTGAGCAGGCCTGTGGTGGTGGTGGTGCAGCCGACACAGCGAGGACTGTTGTTGGTCCCACTGTCCCTGCCAGACAGCCTCAATGACTTCCAACAAAACACCTTCACCCTGTTTTTTTTTCTCATCTTTGTACATCTTAGCTGTTCGACTGATTTTAACACAATTATGTCATCCTCATTAGGCAAAAGTAGTGCCTGTGGTAAGCAGATCCGTGCTTTATAGTGAAGGATACTGTTGGTTAGTGAAGTGTTGGCTGGGTTTATATGAATCCAGTATTCTGTTTTATTGCTATTGTTTTGTAGCACTATTCCCGAGCATTGAAATGTGTAGGGTGATGACTGCGTAAGTGTTAGCAATAAGCTATACATGATGTTATAACATGGACGTAGTGCATTTAGAAACTGTGTCTACCAATTTGACCTACCTACTTTTTCACAGGCCTACCAAAAAATGTATTTATTTATTAAAAATGTATTTACAACAAGCCTATGATGTGTGCTCAAATATTGAAAAGTTGTGACCATGCAAAACGTCTCTCAGACGGCACCACAGCCCCGGCGTAAAAAAGACAGTTATTGCTCTGTTGTTGCTGATGTGATATTTTTAGTGTAGTTGCATTAGTTTTTAGTTTGTAACTACTGGTTAGAAGTGTCTACATTCCTTGAATGTCATGTCCTCCTGTGTTACCCACTTGCTGTGTAAGATGGAATATACAAATCCACGCGTTACATGGAAACCAATTACCAACTGTTTATCTGTTCAACCTCTTGGTCTACAGTTTGTTTTGCACAGTAGTGTCTGTTCATATTGCTACTAAGTATTTCGTTTTGGCCGGAACCATGGGCCTTCTCCATGACCATCTTCCTTGCACACAGGTATCACATGCCCAGTGACATACTGCATGGGGAGCAGTTTCATTTATACTGGGAGGGGTTCTGGTTGTCGAATGTGTCTTGGACAGATGGATGCGTTTTATAGCATGTTGCTCAGATGCGTCTCAGAACCCCCTTTAAAGTGGTTTGATGAGATCAGATGTATCTGTATCTGTTTTAAATGTGTCTTGGGTGCGTTTTTTTTGCATTTATATGTGACTCTGCCGCATGCAGATATAATCCTGAAACCAGGTGTAAACGATGTGTAAACAGTCGCCAGTAGTAGTGCCTCAGCAGTACAGAGGTACACCTCTCTCTGCATCTACTCTGTTTAGTGAGCGGCAGAGAGGCGGAGCAGCACATTCAGTCCGTACGGCAGCTGACATAAACGTAAATGAGCTGCGCATGTGCAAGCAATGTTGCCAAGGACCTATCATTAATTAATCTGTATTGTTTGCTCTTTCTTTTGTTTTCATTTAAACAATCGAATTTGATTGTTTTGACCGTTATCACTATCTTATCACTTATTATACAACAGTTATACAACGCAAACTGATTGGATGAGACGCGTTCTAACCGTGCTGTTCTTTCGCCATAACATCATGATTTTTTTACAAACACTGTATCACACTGCTAAGACGCCGTTGCTAAGCAACGGGTTTGACAGCTGTAGGAGACGCTCAAGCCATTTGAACGTTTTTACTTCTTACTTTGCGCACAAACAGAAAATGGATACTTTTAAGTGTGTTAAATATCGCGATAACACACTCCCTCTCGTGTTCTATTGCTATCACTCTCAAAACGGAACATCCTTCTTGTGGTTTTGTTACTCGGACGGAGTGCTGTGCGCTGTGTGAGAAAAATAGGAAAGGTATTCTGTCGCTTCTAACTTTCTCTCCGAGTAATCATTTTACATGTAAATATAGCCAAAACCACAGACGTTACCTTTAAATTATGTGTATTGTGATTTTGTCAGACGACATCGCGGTTATAAAATCAGTATTTTAGCAGTGCGGAGCGGCTTAGAAATGGCTTGGTGGTGTCTGGTTAACGTGTAGTCTTAATGGGCCACGAATCAGTCACTATCTCAAATTCATCCTGTTGTCTGACAAGAGAGCTTTACTGGGAGTTCGGCTTTATTAAAACACAATATATGTGAGCACAGAGAATAGGGAAGCAACCAGATGTAAAGGGCTGACACCGTTTGACACTTGGCGGAATGTAAATATGACGCGATGACATCACAAATATGCTAATTAGCGCATGACATCGTCTAACGACATTTAGCGACTTTTCGAGTAGGCTTTAGCTACTTTCCATTGAAAATAGTTGGCTTGCTGCCTGCTGAAGGTTGTATTTAAAAAATATTTTACTGTTTTTTGTAGTGTTCTTCTACACCAACACTACAATCTTCTAGCGTGTAGCTAGACTACGGGTCACCACACAACCTACACCGCCCCCCTCCTCAAAGGTTTTAGCACCCCTGTAAAAAAGCCCCCGACGCGTGACTAAGTAAAACTTAGGGCTATTAATATTTAATTTTAAATTAATGGGTATTCTAAAAAGACTTCCCTAAAATATATAAAGTAACTGTATTATGAAAACTTTTTTTCATCATGAAATGAACGATTATTGCTTTTCCTTGTACTCAGCTCACCCCTTCAGGCAGCATGCACAAGTTTTTGAAGACAGGAAATGGCATTGTAAACGCACCGCCCCTCCCTGCTCTCTTCTGTCTTCTACCTCTACAGTCGGAGGAGGTAGTACTGTCCGTTCGGTAACTTTGTGAGCAATCAGTGAAGAGCTGACCGCTGAGTGATGCCCATAACGGAGAGCCCAGAGATGGAAACCTGTGAGCTGGACCTTCAGCAGCGGCGATCAGCGCAGTGGAGCAGCAAAACGGCGGTGTTTATCGCGCTCACTGTCATTGGATTTGTACAGATTGTCTCCAGTGTTGCAGTGCTGTTACACTTGACCGGGCATATACCTCAGGTACAACTCTGAGTACCTTCTTTATTACTTAACAAAATGTTTCCTTTTCACTTAATGTGCGATTTCATTTGCTCTCTTCAGAAGCTGCCCACGAACTAGGCAACAGAGCACAGGTTCATTGTACAGGGCAGATAGTTTTTGTGAATGAAACAAGAACGAATGTCGTAAACAAACAGTATGACTTTTCTGTTCGTGGAAATTTGGTTGGTATGCCAGTAGCAACTACTGTGGCCATGGTTTACAGCATATATATGCTATTGCAACTGTATAATATTGCTTATTCAGTATTTTTTGAACTGAAACATGAGCTGCAGGCCCTGCAATTCTCTGCAAATAGCCACCATGAGTATGATTGCTTGCATAGTAATACACTGCTATGCAATCCATCATATTGCTATCATTCCAAATGTTAATTGTATTTATAAAGCATCCCAGAGTTAAAAAGAAAAAAGTTCCATCTCAAAACGCTACATCTTTCATTTGAGTTTGTAAGGGGCCTGGCATGACTTAACATCTGTGACTGACAAAGCACCTAATTACATCTGCACACAGCAGGAGAGAGACCAGTCAGCAGAATGCCAGGTGGTGGTGCTCAGAGAAGCACTAATTTGATGTGCACGTTTTCCATTAATCATATTCCCGGCAGTGGATCCATTTGTTTCACATGCGCTAATTTTTTCCAGGCAGACTCCTCCACAGCGCTACAGAGAAACACAGAGGTAAGAAGTTATGTGAATGTTTGAGACAAGCTTTGATTGGCAATATAAACAAAGACTCACTTAGATATCACTTCCTCATAATTCAGGTTGTTCTCACCGAGCCCGTCCCAACTGATGCATTCAGACACGCCAAGGCCAGAGCAGAACCCAAAGTTCAGAGGAAAAATAGGAACATCACCCCAGCAGCTCACCTGCCAATCAAACCAGCCAGCGGACATATACAGAGTGAGTGCCAACACTAAAAGCAGTGTCTGTGTAACCCAGTCTTACATAGGCAAACTGAGCACTTGCATATCAAGAGAAATTCCACTGATTTTTCATAATGTCGGCATGACTAAATCGTTGATATGTAAACATTAAGACTGGTTTGATATGAAATGCGCCATTCTTGATAAACATACCATCAGAATTTTTCTCAGTGGTGGTGATAGTAACCAGATGTCTGAAGGCTTTGATACCTCTAAAGGCTAATAGACAAAATGGCAATTTTGCATTGTAGATATCACTCCCCAGTTCCTATCACCACCATGGAGTTGGTAAGTTTTTCTACAACACATCAGTTCACATCACATCTCTCTGAATGGCTTTGTGAACATTAATCACTTGAATTGTGCAGAATTTTTTTTTAAAAGTCGTTGGAATCTCATTTAAAAATAAAGATGATTTGAAGTTTTTTGGGGCTGTGCTATAAAAGAATGACTTTTCCCTAAATAATCTTTCAATAGAAGCTTCTTTAAGGGCTCAACTCATCAATCTGAGAAAGAAAAACTAGTCTCAACTAAGGCCGTACACTCTTTAAAAAGATGGTTCTTCAAGGGTTCTTTAGTAAAGAAAATGGTTCTATATAGAACCATGAACACTCAAAGAACCCTTTGCATGCTTAACGGGTTCTTTGCCTCGTTAAAATGTTCTTCAGATTGATGGAGAATGTGTTATATGTGGTTCTGTATAGAACTTTTTTGAAAAGAGTTCTATATAGCACCAGAGAGAGTTCTTCTATTGTGATGATGCCAAGCTTGTCACAATAGAAGAACCCTTTTTGGTGCTATATAGTACCCTTTACAAAAGGTTCTATCTCTCCTTTGAAAATTTGCACTTAAACACACCGCAAAGACTACAGCAGACAGCCAACATGCATGGTTGTCCCAACGCACCTGTGCAAAAGGGAACAACTCTCCATAGGAGGAGCTGCAGTAGGCTGTAAAAATGTAAAACTGCAGCATAGTAAAGAATACATGGTTTTAATGTCATACAAGCATCAAATGACCCTGTTTGAACTAAACTCAAGGTGTGAAAGTAAACCACTGTTGTGTGATCGATGGGTTTAAAAAGGCTACTCACAAGTAAATGCCTGTACATTAAACAATGAAATACTCATTATACATACTCATGATGATATAGAATAACAAGTCCATTAAATAACTGAGTGTCCCATGCTTTTATGTTGGAGCTCTTGTGCATCCACGTTTATCCCTAACAATATAATCATATGTTCTCGTTGGTGGTATTATACTTAGGTACTGTTAGTTTACAAATTCGAGCCAGAGCCAGCAGTGCGGGACACACAGCAAACTACGGGTGACGGTTGCTCACTGGCTGCCTAACAGCATCTGATGACCAACAGTCGGCTTGGTGTGTCTGGCCCCCTTTCAAAATTTTAAGAACCTTGACATGAAGGTTTTTTTCTAGAACCAAATCAAGATTTACCTTTATTTATGAAAAAAAATATGGGAACTTGACTTCTAAAGGCTCAGACACTCCAAGCCAAAGATGAAGAACTAGCAGCAGCGAAGTAAAGAAAATGGTTCTATATAAAACCATGAACACTCAAAGAACCCTTTGCATGCTTAAAGGGTTCTTTGCATCATTAAAACGTTCTTCAGATTGATGGAGAATGTGTTATATGTGGTTCTGAATAGAACCTTTTTGAAAAGAGTTCTATATAGCACCAGAGAGAGTTCTTCTATTGTGATGATGCCAAGCTTATAACAACAGAAGAACCCTTTTTGGTGCTATATAGAACCCTCTACAAAAGGTTCTATCTCTCCTTTGAAAATTTGCACTTAAACACACGCAAAGACTACAGCAGACAGCCAACACGCATGGTTGTCCTAACATGCCTGCGCAAAAGGGAACAACTGTTATGATACAAGTTGTAACAATAACTTGAAAAGGTAAACTGATACAGACACAATTAATTCAATACAATGTTTTAACCAGATGAGTTTTCCAAACTAAATACATAAAAATATATGAATCAAAATCTCATTACCATGTCTGAAAAAGTCATGGTCAGGCATTAGGATCCTCTTCCCACACCCTAGTTAGTTATGTTTATTAAGAAGGGATGTCATCAGCAGGGCTCCATACTCGTCTGTGTTCTCCTAGTCTGGAAAATACTACTATCCAGTTTAGTTTAAAGAGGAAGAGTTACAGGGCAGAAAAATTCATACATCCTCATACAGTACATGTACAGGTTTGCAAGATTACCAGTAAATGGGTGGGAAAATTTATACAATACTGTTGAAGACGTGAAAGTGTGTGCTATACCTAGAGATGGCACGATACCACTTAATTAAAGCAGTTCACTTAACATCGTAAGATCATCTAAAAGTAGCAAAAGCTACCATTATTCATACAAAAGCAAAGATATTTGTTATTGATTCGAAATTTGTTACAGGATCAGATCAGATTTGTTCATTTTTAGTTTTGATATCTGACCCAGTATTTTCTGCTGAAGTCGACCAATTGGATTGGTGCCATCTCTAACATTTCTTTAATCATATGCAGCACCTTTGATTGATACAGGGAGATTCGCTCGAAAGAGGCCCCGAATATTCTGTTATAACTCTCGGTAGGACAAAGCAATCTGAACAAAACAATGTGCAGTTTGCTCCTCAGTATATGGAGCTTCGAACAAGCTGGGATGCCCCTACGTCAGAGCGATGAGGTAGGTGCCGGACAGCTGTTGCGACGTTTGACCTCCGTTTGCAACTTCGGGGTGCATACACCTTTACCCCTTCATGTGTCTGGCAGAAAACGGAGATCACTTCCAGCATCGCATGTAATGCAATCGATTACACATACGTCAAGGTAGGTAGCATATTTTTTGGTTCAGATAGCTTCATCCTAACGGGAGTTACAACAGAATATTCGGGGCCTCTTTCGAGTGAATCTCCCTGTAGAACCTGTATTTTGTAGATATATAGCTTACATCACATCCACAATAAGATTCAGTTTTGTGTGAAACATACAATTCTGGCAAAACATCAATACATTGTGTAGAATTTTTCATTAAAATTTTACTATGTGGCTAGTCATATGGAAGAAACTAGAAGTTTTAACTCTAGCTACAATACAGTAAATACTGACAATGTTTGGTAGCTCTTCACTAGCCTTTCTCTGCTTTTATTATTAGGGAAAGTCCATGCCGCTATCATTCACTGGAACCCTGAGCAAGGCAACCTTCACCATTTTGGATATCACAATGGACGGATCCTTGTTCAGAAATCAGGCCTGTACTATGTGTATGCCAAAACGTGTTTTCGTTACTATGATATTCTGGAGGTAGGTCCTGAGTCAGCACAAGGCGGTCAGACGAAAAGGTCACCAACCATATCACCATCTGATGAAGGAGTGCAGCTAATACAGTATGTGTTCCAAGAGCGCTTGTCACTCAGTTCCCCATTAAGGCCAGCACTGCTAATGAAAAGTGGGAACACATGGCGTTGGAAGCGAGGGACTTATCACATGTGCTGTCAACAACAAAGTGGGGTGTTTTCACTACGGGCTGGAGAAGGTTTATATGTGAGCGTTTCAAACTCTTGGATGCTTGACCCAGAAGCTGAAGGCAGCTACTTTGGGGCTTTTAGGATAAGCAGTGAAATGTAGCTTTGAAGACTGTGTGTTTCTCAAACTGTTTACTTATTCTATATTTATTTTTTTAATACTTGAGATACCCTTAAAGGCATTCTGTGACATTATAGAAACAATACACTGAGCTGAGGCTAAGCTGTTATTGCTCTTAGATGATTCCATTTCACAATAATATTACTTACAATTGACAGGGGCAGTTCTAGCAGGGCAGATATTTCACAAACTGACTTGTGGCATGAGTGGCATCCTATGATAGTACCACATTTAATGTCATCGAGCTGAAACACTTGAACTTAATGATTATGTGTGTCCACATACTTTTGGCCAAAACAACTGTTAAATATACACCATTGTTAAAAAAAAAAGTAAAAAGAATTTCCCTATATTCATTTCTTGTTGCTGTGTAACATTGTATGCTTACTACTTTTAAGTAATTTGAGTTCTCTTAATATTTAAGTTTTAACAGAAAATTTTACATGGCATAGTGTGACTCAGATGTGTATCTCAATGCAAATTGTATATTTTTATATACTGTGACATTCCTGAGCCAAAACTGGGCTTTTTCAGAAAAATCCTACCTGTTTAATCACAGTTTTTACCATTTGTATTATTTTATACACTACATTGCAATTCATTTTCCTTTTCAGTGAAATGAATAAAGACTGGATGTTCTCTTAGATTCTAATGTTGATGTTCACTTTGCTGATGCACACCCTTTTAAAACAGAATTATATATTGTGGAATGCTTATTGGTCTACAGTAGAAGATTTATTAATATGATTGCTGGCAAGAGAAAAACAGTCTGAAGTTGAATCACTGAAGAAAAGCAAACATAGCTCAACTTCTGGCATGGGTACACTTTCACTTTTGAGATCTGGCGCTTATAAATGGTGTTAGTGTGGTATTAGTGTGACACTGATACTAAATGGTTTTTGCAGATTAGGCTTGTATTCACTCTAAAGTATAACTTTACTGACCCCGTCACACCAAAGTCATGATGTCTGAAGTCTATAGGTACAGTGATGAAATACATCAGTGATTCTAGACTCCAGTCCTGGAAACCCTCTGCCCTACACAGTTTCATATATTCCCTGCCACAACACATCTAATCCAACTCATTTAGGGCTTTAATTAAGACATAATTTCCTGATGAGCTTGTTTTGGGACAGAGAATACTCAAAAGAGTACGTATCCCACTCGAGAACCACTGAAATACAGTTGGGTGACAAACTTGGCCAATAAAGAGCATTCAAATTTTTGGCCCTGAAAAATACTATAAGTTGCTTTAATGGTATGTTTTGAAGCATTTGGCTGGATCTTAGCATTTTATACGCTTCTACACCAGTGGTCAACGACCCTGGTCCCGGAGGTCTACCTTCCTGCAGAGTCTAGTTTCACACAAGCTCTAGCTAATTAACTTATTCAGAAGTGCTTGATTGGCTACATCAGATGTATTGGTTTCACAGATTAAGTGGTACTGTTTTGAACATAAGGAACACCCCTTTTTTCTCCACACTTTCCTCTTTCTAAAACTCTGTTACATATTAATCATCTGTCCATCTGCCCAAAATATCTAGTCCTAGTCTTTGGATAGCTTATCAGTGCATCGTGCTTCTTAAAAATGTACTAAACTGTTGAGCCTGAAACACCTAATGTTTTCATTATGTGTAGTTTATTCTGATTTTACAGATTTGTTAGCCTTTTGTGCATGAAATAATGATAAAAATTTCAAGCTGTCCAAGAAACAACTGAGCAGGTCCCCTCAAATGGGAAATGAGTGTAATTCCTGCAAAGTTCAGCTGACATGGATGTACATGTCCTCAAATTGAAGCTGACAATCTACATCTTAGTCACAGTTCCATTCTAAAGCTAATGTGCGTACAATGCCAAAATACCAATTTTATCAAGAAGCCACCAGCATGGAAGTAAAAACTCCTAAATTAACCCTGCTACTTTGAACGCATAAATGTTCATAGGTTCTGAAAAACGTACTATTGAACAAAACCAAGGGCTTCATAAGAAGAACTTCAAGACAGCTTCACTGCACAAGCTCTTTAGCTTTATTTTCTGTCTTATTTTTTTCTGTTTTTCATTGGGAAATACCCTGGTGCTAGGTTATGCTAGAATTATGCTATTTATTTAAAAACAAGCAAGCAGGAAACGCCTAAAAAATGTCTACCAGCACAAATTAAGACCACTGACGTGTTAAGGAGGAAAAACGTGATTAGGAGTGACAAATAACAAGCAGAGGTTGTTGTGGTTGGTTTGATTCATGTGGGGAATACCCCGCTGACTCACTATCCTGTTATGACTACACTGGCTGGAGCCTGAGACTGATCCCGTTTTTGCTGAACTTAGGAAGACTGTACCCCTTACTGAACAATGCTCTCTGCATAGAGATTATTAGACTTAAAATTAGACTTATCTAACACATTTGAGGGATATATATTATATTTTCAGAATGTCAAATCATGTTGAAATTTTCTTGCACCAGTTTTTAACAACTGAGTGATCCTTGGAAAACATTAAAATCATGTCAATAAAGCTACTGTTATTGTAAAGCTGTACAGAGGTGGAAACAAGTACAGAGAAAACATACTTAAGTAAAAAGTCAATGTTTTATTAACATATTAAAGTATATAAAAGTAAAAAGTAAATGTTTTAACAGATAAGATTGAACTTTTTTTTTTGGTAGTGTGTGGTGTGGCAACTAATGGTACTGGTACTTGCTCAAAGGCATAGTTGTGGGCAGTTTCGATTTATAATGATATGAAGTCAATTGTATATTTTAATTAACAAACAAATAATTTAAATGTGCGGAAAATTCACTGATGAGAAGAAGAGAAAAATTGCCTTTGAGATTTGTAATGAGTACCTTGAAGGTTTAAAGGAAAGTGTAAGGAGGAAAATGTTTTCATCTTGGAAATGTAATTGCATAACAGTTAAAGTATTACATTTCAAACAGTAAAGAACATATCTTATAAAATAAGTATGGTATTTTCTAACTTTATAACCGTATCATAATTGAAATACAGATAATCCCTTATATAACAAGTACATTCTGGCTGGATTAACTAAGGTGCAGCTCACACAGAGATGCAGCCACATTTTAGGCCAAAATGCCATGCCAGGTGTTTTGGCCATTAATGCTTTGACATTATGGATAACAGCTATATTTTGTTAAAAATCCAGTCCTACTTTAGAAATAGGACCAGGGAGAGGGTTAGGTTTTGGGTTAAGGTTGATGCCATGGTGAACAGCTGACTTCAGCTTCATATCACCAAATAATTAGGGGTGGGCGATATAAATAATTATCGCAGAACCCTCCTTGAAAGTATATGATGCCCTAAAATGAACTGAAGACCAGCAGTGAGGTTGCTAACCTTATCGCTCCTCTGTTATCATCGATCTTAGTGCAGCTTTTGACACAATAGACCATTCCATTCTATTAGACAGGCTTGAAAAACTAGTAGGAGTGACAGGTAAAGCTCTTTCGTGGTTCAAATCTTACCTTAGTGATCGCTTTGAGTTTGTTATTGTAAATGGTGAACTATCAGCTCTCACAATAGTAAAGTATGGTGTTCCACAGGGCTCTGTCTTAGGACCCATATTATTTACCTTATATATGCTACCACTACGTACCATCATTAGAAAACATGGCATCAGTTTCCACTGCTATGCCGATGATACACAATTGTATATTTCAGCTAAACCAGAGGACAAAATTGAACTTAATAACATAGAGGACTGTGTAAAAGACATTAAAGAATGGATGTCAAGTAACTTCCTCTTACTAAATTCGGACAAAACAGAAGTTCTTCTTCTTGGTCCAAAACCTACTAGGGATAATCTGCCTACGTTTACTCTTAATCTCGATAGTTTCTCAATTGCACCAGGCACATCTGTAAAAAGCCTTGGTGTCACGATCGATTCTGATCTGGCCTTCGATGAGCATATTACCAATATTACCAGAATAGCTTTCCTCCACCTGTGTAACATCGCTAAATTAAGAAATTCACTGTCGCTACAGGATGCAGAAACGTCCAGGTTAGATTACTGTAACACTCTGCTTTCTGGTTGTTCCAGCCAAAACTTTAACAAGCTTCAGTTAGTCCAGAACGCTGCAGCCAGAGTTCTCACCAAAACCAGGAAATTTGACCACATTTGTGTACCTTACATTGGTTGCCAGTTAAATTCCGCTTTGAGTACAAAATTCTTCTACTGACGTATAAAGCTTTGAATGGCCTTGCTCCTCAGTGACCTTATTTCCTATTATCAACCGACACGCCCACTTAGATCACAAGGTGCGGGCTCATTATTAGTACCCAGAATAAATAAAGTTACATCAGGGGAAAGAGCCTTTTCATACAACGCCCCCCAGCTTTGGAACAACCTACCAGTCTGTGTTCGGGACTCAGACACAGCCTCCATCTTTAAGTCTAGGCTAAAAACTTAGCTGTTTAGTCGAACCTTTGGTTAATTTGTTTTCCTAACTATCTGTCCCCCTCATCACTGCAAACTGGCAGGGTCACCTACAGAGCATCACTAATAGCCTGTAAATGAAGTAATATTCTTTTTTATTTGAGGGTCCCATTTCAGAGAGGAAGATTTCAACCACTACCCCTTGTAACTCAGTTCCAAGGGGCAATGTGATACTCGAAAACAAGGGCTAGGGGTAAAAATAAGAAATAGGATTGGGCCTAAGTTTGAAATTAGTGTGATCTGTCCTGACAACAAGGTGTAACTAATTTTGTATGGCTTATGGTTGTTAATATTTTCAACTGTAGGAAGATGACCACAGCCTTTTCACATTTTTTCATATTTTAACATCTTTTCACCTCTTTTCATGTCATGTGTTTTTTGTTACATCAAATTATGGGGAGCAGTATCAACAGGGGTATCAATAAGTATTGATGTTAACAAGCAGTATCAGGATCAATATTGGTATTGATAAAATCCTAACAATACCCATCCCTTCACACAGATTTGAGAAAAATAATTCATCATAAGATTTAGGGTTTTATAATCATTGTACTTCAAAAAAGCATAGATTTTTGTTAATATTTTTAATGACAGGTCAAATACATAAGCAATAAAGCATGTTTTTCACTGCCTGTTTTGCTCATGTGTACCAGGGATGCCAATATTTGCCAATAAACTAAAAGAAAGAAAAAAAGATTCCTGATTTCAATTAAAAAAGAAAGAGGAAAAAAATTTTAAAAAGGAAAAAAGAAATGGATATGGCAATGTATACTATAGAAACCACAAAACTGAGAGGCACATGGAAAATGGAGAGAGCACATAAATGTCAAAAATATAATCCATGTCCCCTCCAGTATTTCCCACACTGACAACCCTATTTTGCCAAATCTTTGGTATCTATGATGAGTTTCAAAAGCTGGTTTTTCCCGTGGGAGACGACTCAAGATCTGTGTCAACCACATATTAAGAGATGGAACATCTGGAGGTATCAACAACAAAAAAATACATTTTTTTTGCCAGATATGTTAAAGTTCCTAGGAGATATTCCTGACTGTCATTCAGTATTATGTCAGGGCTGTGCTTCAAATGATTAATTTGTGCTGACCAATAATAAAGCAGAAAGGTAGGTAAGGATGCTATAATGTCAATTTTAAAAAGGCTATAAAGATGTATTTGTTGTTGTTCACATAACAATATAACAGAAATCAAATTTTCAGTAAGATAAAATTATTCAAAGATAAAGGTGCTTTTAAAAAAAAAGCATTCATCAAATATACTGGCACCCCTATAATGAACATAATGCAACTGACTTATGTTGTCATTCACATTTGATCTTTTTTAAGCATATTGTTTATGTCTTCAGTGATTGCTTCTTGTCACAAATATGAATCCAATTAGCATGGCAAGGGCACTAGTAGGGAGGAAAAAGTCCTTAAGCGTGAGAAAGAAACTTTAAGGGGAACTAATACTCTAGTTGACACTAGATAGTGGAATTACAATCTAAATAATATGAGTTTACAATGGAAAATAACAGAGGTACTCTGACTAAACAAAGGAGTGATCAGTTAGATAAAACTATATCAGAAAACTGTCAGAACAAAAGATTTAGTAGACTACCAATTCTGTTCGACATATACAGCATGTAGATACGAGAAATGTTTGTAAACATGAGTTTAAAGCAGGACCAAAAAAAGGTTAGGAGTTCATATAGGGGCTGAAAGTGATTAAGTTTAGGAGAACATTTAACAACTTGCAAAAGAAACACAACAGTACATTTACACTTAACAAATGATAAACGGAGCACTGATGAACCTGCCTAGAGAGGGTTGCATGTGTAATTTTGCCTCCCACAGCACAGTGAGTGTGGTTTGAGAGGCTGAACTTTCTCCACAGTTGGACAACTACTAGTTGCCACCTCCGTGCCAACAGACTATTTTGTCGCTGCTGTCATCAAACAACAAATGTAAGCACCTGTAATTGGAACCAGACTCTGTGGTTTGCTCAATACAGAGCTCTTTGGAAACAAATGCCAGAAATGGCTCACAGTCTCACAAAACAAATCTAACCTGAAGTGAGATATGGTGGCAGTCTGAGATGTCGCAGGGCTGTTCTTCTTCCCAAGACATGGAATATTGCTAACAAACAACCTACAGTCGTGGAAAAAATAGGACACCCCATGAAAAACTTTGTCTTTTTTTAACATACTTAGACATGGACATTTGATCTTCACGTTAGCAGTATTGAGTGATGGAGGTAATATCACTTAATAAATAAAACTGCGGAAATGTATTTCTTAGTTAAAACACCCTCACATTTATTACAACTTAAAATGCCTAAAATTAGAATCAGGTGCCCCACATCAGCTGCAAATGATTAAAACTTTGTTAGAGAGAATTTTGGAGGAGCCTTTCTTGTTTAAACCTCAGACATTTTGTTTGGTTTGCTCTTGATTGTTGAAGTGAGTGGTATCAATATGGCAAGATCCAAAGAGCTCTCTGAGGCCTTCAGAAAGAATGCTGTAGATGCATTTGAGTCTGGGGAAGGGATTTAAAAAGATCTCAAAACAATTAGAAATGAGACATTCCACGTCTGGAAAAAATTTTACAAGTGGAGCACATTTAAAACAACTGCCACCATGGTCAGATCAGGCCATCCTAGCAAGTTCAGCGCAAGAGGAGAAATATAAAGAAGTCATCAAAAATTCTAAAATTTCATCACGGGACCTACAGGTAGTTCTTGCCCAGTTGATGTCAAAGCACATTCTACCATCAGAAAGAGACTGAACAAGTTTGATTCTTATGGGAGGCGTGCAAGGAGAAAACCCTTACTGCAAAAAAATAAGTAAATAAATAAAATAAAATAAAATAAATAAATAAATAAAAATCAAGGCAAGACAAAAGCTTGCTAGAGAACACATAGACAAAGACCATGATGTCTGGAACAATGTGGTTTGGACACATGAATTCACAGTTGAATTATTTGAGCACAGTAACAAGTGACATGTTTGGCGCAAACCAAATAGTATTTGAGCACAAGAACCTCATGGTTCAGCACTGAGGCGGAAATGGCATGGTTTGGGGCTGCTTTGCTGCAGCAAGGCCTCACAAGCTCTCCCTCACAGAATCCACTATGAATACTTTATTGTGTCAGAGGGCACTTGAGTAAAATGTAGCGGGGTTTCCATACACTAATTTTTTTGCGAATTTTGAAAATGTGTAAAAGAAAAAGGCTGAATAAAAAAAGCCCAAAATTAAGAAAAAACACCCAAATATTGCAAAAGAGTTGTACACTAGGACGAGGTGGAAAAGTTAGAAAGCTAAAGCCGAAATGTGAAAAAAGGTGATGGAAAAGTGCTTTTCGAATAAACGCTGACGTATCAAGACGTAAGTGGGAAATGATTGGCCTTACAGATGGTCCGATCGTGGCGCATCGCTTTTCGAAGGTTGTATTTGATATTCTGAAATGCCTAATCCACAGCTTATATGAAATACATAAATACATGCATACATATGACATCACTATACATTTCATGATATTACATTTTTCTGAGGTTTGATAATCTGTCAGGAATACACAAAAAGTACCAGCAGTGTCACATTTAAAAATACTATCAAAAACAATGAATGCAATGACTTTTATTGTTTAATAGGTACACCACCACTCTGAAAAAGCGTGCTGGAGAACCAATCCTGCCTTTTATTAGCTGCGTTAAACACAGATCTAAAACGCGCGTCAGGTATGTATAATTTCTTCACATTCACTTCAAGTCTAGCGTTTTTCACTTGCGTAAAAGGTCAAAGGTTGCGTTACACGTCACATCTTGTAAACTAGCTAGATGTAAATAGGACTTAATTAAGTCCCTGATGTTTGGAGTTGGAGCAGCCTGCACTGATACTTAACGCTACTTGGGCATTTATTCAACCTTTTTTCCCTATAGCCATACTGCCGTGAACTGTGCACGCGCTTACTCTTTCATTCCCAGCTAACAGCTATTAGCGACGTGCAACGACAAAACAGAAATGTTGAGGTAACGTTAAGCTTTACCAGTTTTGATAAGGTCTACGTGACCGTTCCCAAAACATTTTGTTAATACTTCTATCTACAGATTAATTACAGCTGGGTCCCTTAGTTGCATTTTGAGAGGCAGTGCTTGTTTAAGTTTTTATGTAGCAAATGATGTTAACTAAGTATCTAGCGTAAACAAAAATATAGAAATAATGTTAGCATCTGTACTTCTAGATACCGTATATGTTGATTAAGTAAACTATTTAAAAAGGTAATTATATATAAAATTGTCTGGCATTATTTTAGGGTTGAAAACTTCAAAATAAAAAACATGTTGCCAAATAAGACAACTTTAAACCACTCAAATCACTGAAAAACTGTTGTCCTCAAGTTCTTCCTTAAATGTCAGGTGGTGCAACCAAAAACAAAGGACTTTTATTTTGACATGCTTTTATGAAAAATTGGCCATTGTGTTGCACTATAAAGAAGACCCCGAGTGACCTTTGTGGTGCATGGACAGGATCAGTAGCTCTTTCACTAATTTTGGGGAAAAAAACCCAAAACATTTTTGAGTCAAGTTTATCATGGTTCAATTTACCATGACAGGTGGTACGACCTCACAAAAACCATTAATATGTGTAGTTATAGCCTGGCCTCAGGAGAATGTTTATTTATCTGAAAAATGTAAGTGTAAACTCAAGTTCAAGGATAAAGGTTTCTGTGAGTGTCTAAGCAGATGCTTGTTCAATTTGAAATTACTCTGAAAAGTCAGCTGGCACAACCAAAGTCAAATGGTGCAACCAGGCACAGTTTTACTAACTGAAATGGGCAATTAAAAGCTTTAATAACACTAACTATGTAAGATATAAAAGGCACATAGATATAAATGTAAATATATATGCAGATCACGTCATGCACATCATGTCCTTTTCAATAAGATTTTTAAAAATGATTATTTTTAAAACTTTGATTGTCATTGACCCATATAGCATTGTTATAGAAAAGGGTTATTTTCCAAAAACCTGAATACTCTGTTACATTTGTTCAAATTTAATTTTATTCTCCATAGTGAGGGTGAGCAGGAATTCTCTCTGACTAGTGCACTTCAAGCGGTTTCCCAGCAGGGGGAGTCCCAAGCTGTTGAGCTAGAGGAAAAACAACATGTTCTAAACTCAGTACAGGTAAACAGCAGTGCAGTTGTCTGTACATCACAGTAAAATTACATTTTACTTAACATTTTGTTCAATGAAAATATATCATATCAAGGCGTACATTCAAAAATAGAGTCTTCATATATATATATATATATATATATATATGTGTGTGTGTGTGTATATATATATATATATATATATATATATATATATATATATATATATATATATATATTGTGTATATATATTGTATATTCATATATTGCAGTGCTAATTCTCAAATATTGCATGGGATTTGGTAGCCTTGTCTCACTTTGCTAGTTATCTTAGCCACTTTTTCATAATGCTACAGGCCACTTTATCAGAGATAGTAAAGAGCTATGAGGCTCTTGCCAAGGACATAAAACTGAAGGAACGACAAATCACTGGCATCACCTGTGAGATTGAGCAGATTCATAACCACAACGAGACACAAGAGACACAGTTAAAAGCCATCTTAATAGAAAATATGAGACTCAAACATAGCATTGAAGAACAGCTGGAGAACTCGCACTTCTTGCTATCTGGATACAATACTTACCGCAATAAAATGGAAAGTTACAAAATGTCTGTCGCTGAGATGGAGAGCCAGGCACCTATTCGTAAGGAGCTGGTGGAGAAGATGAAGGAAGTGAAGAGACTTAAGGATTGCAAGGAGGGACTGAAGATTGATTTACAGAATCCAGAGGGAAATGCTGTTCAGCAGGCTCAGGTGCTGTACAGGACTACTCAGACATGATGTAACAAAATATGGGCATAACACTGCATGAAATGCTCACACTTGTTGGCCATTTTATCTGGTACAGCAACCATATAGGTGAACTTTGTAGGTGTACAGTTGCTGACTGTAGCCCATCTGTTGCAGTATTTTATCAGCTATTCCATCTATCAGTGGAAAGGGACCACCGCAGGACCACCTCTGATGAGATATTAGGTTTGGTGGTAACCATTCTCAGCACAGTAGTGACTTAGTAGTGTGTGGTGCTCTGGTATCAGGCACAGCAGCGTTCCTGTTTTTTTAAACACCTCAGTGTCAATGCTAGGTTGAGAATAGTTTGCCAATCAAAACACACATTCAAATTGTGCATGGAAAACAGTGAGCTACAGACTCAAACTGTCACGACATAACTACAAGGTAAGTGTTGTGCTGACAATGGTCTACCACCCACGTAATGTTTGGTCAGTGGTGGTCCTATGGTGGTGTTTTTCCACTGATGGGTGGAGTAGAGGGTGGCTGATGCAGTGTGCAGCAACAGATGGACTACATTTTTTAACAGTAATTTTAAGCCTCCAAGGTGGACCTGTATTGGTGGGTGTACCTGATAGAAGGGCCAGTTAGTATGAGTATTTCATGTAGTGCTACCATTATATTATACACACCCTGTATGTATATTTTTTTTTTTTGAATGTATGTAACTACTATGTTAAGCATAACCATAGTATTATATTTTATGTTGTTTTCAGAAGGAAATAGATAATATTAAGGCCAAGGTACTTTGCTCAAAAGAGATGGTGAGAGAAAAAATAGTGCTTTTGGAGAAGGAGAAAGAGACTCATTCACAGCTGAGAAAGGATATAGAGGTAAGCTGAGATCAGTACAGTGCCTTCTCTAATTATAGCATTACTTTGGTAAAGAGGAAAAAAAAATGGGAAAAAAAATCAGTGGTGTTTTTTAGATTGGTCTAACTGATCTAACCTCTAACTTAAGGTAAATTTCTTTCAAACATTTTCTTTTCTCAAGAAAGTGAACGACATTTGTTGGTACCAATAAAGCACTTGTGAACGAAATATAATAGGAATATTTTCAAAGTTAATTGAAGACATTATTAGCTTGCCTTGAAAAGGATAGAATTTGGCTTCACATTCAGAAGGGATGTGTTTTTTTGTTTTCAAATGCAGTTGATTTACTTTACAGTTATGATTCTTTCTGCTCAGATTCACAACAGAAGATGTGAGGCCATTGTCAAGAGACTCTGCTGCCAGCTGAACAAAGCTCAATCCAGCCACCAACAGCTAAGCAGTGACATCTCACAAATGGAGAAGGAGGTTGAACATCTTAGGAACCAGTTACAGGTATCTCATCCCATGCAGAACCAAACCACGGATGGCTGCACATGAATGTGATCAGTGAAGCTATTCTAGTGGTAGTGTTTGGGGCGATATAAGACTTTGCTGACTAATGTTTTTGAGTTCTTTGGCACATGTTAGTGCATGAATGTTTTAGCCATAACAGTTATTTTGTTTTATTTCCTTGAAAGAGTTGTTGGTGTGAATTTGCAAATAATACCTTTGTGATGCACTGTTCATGATTTGAACAGTTGAGGGCAGCAGTTTCAACCAAATGTTCAGGTATAATTTCAGCAAAGGTTGCTGGTCACTGTGTTCATTGCCATTGAAATATAAAGATTTTAAAACAAGTGCCTCATTCCTTAAACACATAAAATCATTTTCAGCAAGGTTAAAATGATTATGAGCTTTGCTTTCTTTTTGGCATTAGTATATAGGTCCGTCAAGCTTTGTGTATGTTACATATGCATTTTATATCTTACATTGCTTCGGATAAGTGAAGCTTGGTACAAAAGACAGACTCAAACCAAAAGTATTATCTTTGAGTGAGAATTATCTGTTTGGGAATCATGTTTTTTTTCTTACTGACGAAGAAATATTGACTTGATATACAGTGCCATGCAAAGGTCTTTAAAACAATTTATCTGGGCAGTAAGTGTATTTTTACCGGTAAATTATTAAACATTAGAATAAACATGAATACAATAAAAAAGATATTCCTTCATTTCTAGCTTTACATCTTATTTTCTCAGATGGTGCAGAAGACTCTTGCACAGTACTTTGTGTCATTTCTATATACATTACAGGCCAAGAGTTATAAGCACCACTGTCATTGTAAACATAAACCTTCTAAATATCATTCAAGAGATTGTGTGCAGTAAAATGTTTGTTAAAAAATAACAAAATGGTCTGACCAAATATCTGCATTTTTAATGTACAACTCACTTTATTTATTTATTTATTTTTGTTTTTGTTTGGCTCCTGGTTATTATGCTGCAGGCTCTTCTAGTCACATATTTACTTATATCCACCAAATTCTCACATTCAGATGCGTCTGAAGGCTTGGCGATCTGAATTGGGTGTGTTCAGTATAGGAGTTTGTAAATAATTAACTTGTCAAAGTAAGAGCATGCTGTCACCAAAGACTGTGAAGACTTTTCCCTGGAGGTGGTCAATGTGACAATATTTTATTTTTATTATGATATATTGTAATATGCTTTTCTGAGTATATTATAGATGTTGATGCTAAAACACCACTGACCAACTGCATGTTTCATTACAAAGACAGCCTAATTATTGGATTTAGTGCAGTGCAGTAGATAATTGATTGGATTTAGTGCAGTGCAGTAGATAATTGATTGGATTTAGTGCAGTGGTTTTGTCATTGACAGCATTTTGAAATTGTGGCACTGCTGGTACTTTTTTGTTTATTACAACTTATCAAACCTCAGAAAAATGTCATATTGTCATATGTATTGTGTATCGTGAAAATATCTTAAAATATTGTAATTTTATAATTTTGCCATATTTCCCACTCGATGGAATACATTTGAGTAAGAGTATGTACCTGCGAACTGATGAAATATTTTGAAAAACATGATTTGGTTTGACTAGATGTCAGTAAGCATGCTGAGTTGTGTTGTTGGTTTGTAAAACATTTTTTAAACAGATTTGAATTGGAGGAGAATTTGGGCAAGTTGGCTCACTGACTTTATTGTGATTGTTTAATTCGGACATCAAGGTACAGTTTTTTGTTATTAAATTAACGTATCATAAACTCAGGGTCCATATTTAGTTGAATGCATTATAAATACAATAAGGAACATCTCCAACAATGCTTGTGGTTAGGGATACACCATTACCACTTTCGTTACTAGTACCTGATCCTTAAGTATCAGCCGAATACCAAGTACCAGTATGGATATCATGAGGTAAATAATAGAGATTGTGAGTGTATTCTGTAGAGTTAATATGCTTGCATAACACACGTGCATGCGAAGAGGAGTCAGATTCTGCTGGGGAGATGCAATTCAGCACAACACTTGCAGAGAACATTAGAAGAGAAAGAACTGTTTTGACTTATAAAGTAGAGGGAAAAAATGTAGAGTAATGTCACAGGGTTTTATTACAAGAGGTTGCAAACTTTCAAGGCTTACTTGGCGTGAGATGTGGGCTGAGAACACTAACCAGTTTTGGTGTGAGATTAATTTATTTCTGTGCATGCTAGCCTGAAACAGGACTGTGATTAGATGACTTTTGGCATATGAAAAAAAAATACAGAATTCTGTGTGACTGGGATGACACAGATAAGGTTACAGCCTCCATTGCAGTCTTTCATTAATAGCATTGGCATTGACGTACACTCTGCTGTTGGTTTTTTTTGTTTTCCCATAAGCCATGACACTGTCTTGCATCCTTTTAGCTCTTACCAATGAGTAAAAGCCAGTCTGAGATTTACTCTTGTTGGTCTCTTGCTCAGTCACTCTCCCATTTTCTCTTTCTCCCTACTCTGACAACGTCTTCTTTGGTCTCTACATAGCCTCTGCCATGATGTCCGTGCTGGTAATACTGAGCTAGCTTTTTATAGCTCGCTGAAGAATCATCCTGTAAAGCATTACACAGTTCTTGCAAGAGGTCTTGTGTCTGATGCTCCAAAGTTACATAGCGCTATAACAGGTGTTCTGGGCCAGCAGCGGCAATGACAGAGACTCCATTCTTCTTATTACAAGTCAGTGTATCATCAAAATGATTTTAAAAGTAATATTTTAAGGTAACATTGTTATATAATGTTGCTTTAAAAACAGAACTAAACACTGTATAAATAAACCTGTGGTGTGTACATATAAGCACGCAGCAAGTCATTAGTCTCATATGTGCATCGTATTTACTTGTGGTTTATCACCGAGCATCAAATATTGCAGGCATTAACGCTGTCAGTAGAAGCTGCTTTCAGTGGATTTTCGGGCTTGATGAGAATAACAGGCTGCGACACCACGCCACTGTTTAATACAACTGAAAGACGGAAGCCCTATGCTGCTGTGCTAAAGGCTAAACCAAAGCTACAGACTATCATTACCCCAGGAGGGGGCTGCCGTTATTATGTTTTGCACTGTTTGTGTGTTATGTTATTTGGCTTATTTGTAGCATACCAGTGAAACTGATACCTTAGCAAGTATTCCAACTGGTATCTAACCCACTACTATTGTCCATCTGCTGTCAGAAATGCATGCAGCACTCAGTAGCCTGTGTGTGTTTGTGCGAGTGTGCATCCAATGTTGAGCATCGGCTGATTCCAATGCTGATCCGATATGTCTTCGTTAAAAACTAAAAAGCTTTAAAATGAGCTATTTTAATTTAATACTTCATTTAAGACGGTAGGCAATCATGCTGAAACTACTAAAATACAGGATTACCTTACAGGGAGGAATACCTGTACAACTTCATCATGCCAGTGAAGTGCTGTGTTCAGTTTCATCAGATGAGCAGTATCTGGGCTGGCAGTCTCATTGAACACTAATGAGGGTGTGACAAAGTATCTGCTATCTCTTTATATTTGCCTGTTCATCTGGCCTCTCATTAGCATGTTCTCAGAGCGGGGTTGTTTTCTCTCAGGAGAAAAAAATGCCTCAGGTGTATTCTGTTCTGAACTGACAAACCCATAATGCCCTGGTTCAGTACTGATGTTCTTGTCAAATAAACACACTGTGCCCATGCGCACACCTTCACACCCATCCTGAACTAGTTCTTATAAACACCCACAATCCATTCCTTGCACACTGTCCAAGAAAATGCACAGAGAAATCGAACACGTAGTCAAACTAATGTCAGTTTTGAGGAGTGAGAGGACGGTTAAATTAGTTGACTTAAGTTGTAAGAGATGAATTCTTCTGCTTTTTGTTTCAGTGGAAAGATCGTAAAAACCACTACAGCATTGTCTTGTTTTTACAGAATTCACCTTATTCAGAGAGTTCAAGTTGCTCTGTTTGGGTTGTGGTTTTATGTTGCAAGACTGTATGTCTGCCCTCTAGGGACCTGTTTATTTGAACCTGCATGTCTTACTCTCACATTATTCTGAATATTCCTCCTGCACAATTAGCCCAAATTACTCAACAATCCCACATTTCTTTCTTGGGTCCTCACAATAGCTGGTGTGCCTGTGTTTATGTATAGGGGAGTGTATTGGAAGTTTTTGTCTGTGATCATAGGCATGTGGTTAACATTGTCTGCTTACCTCCTGTCAGCTCGTGTGACCAGATGACTTGATGTCCAGCCGTATTGACTTTAGCAGAATTAGTCTAGCCCCCGCTTCCCTAAGAAATTTTCAGTGCATTACACTTTTTAGTTTGACTCCTGACCTTGACCTGTAGTTTGTCTAACTCCTGACAAATCTATCCATATCATGTGAACTCAGAAAAATTCACTCTTTGGGCCTCCTTATTGTATTATCATTATTGATTAGTTTTTAGATGTAAATCTGGCTTGTAACTCACTTACTCATGTTTAAACAATACTGTCCCCCAGAGGAGTTCTTGGCACTCTCAAGAGAATTCTCTGTGGGCTATTGAGAGAGTGAGAAAGAAAGAAATACGTGGTCGTATCTAATGTAGTCCTATATAAAATGAATGGAGAGCACCTAGGACAAACACCTTTTACCTGGCAAATACTAGAGAGCACATACAGTGGCAGCAAAAGTTTGGGCACCCCTGGTCAAAATTTCTGTAACTGTGAACCGTTAAGTGAGTAGAAAATGAGCTGATCTTCAGAAGGCATATAGTTAAAGATGAAACATTTTTTCCAACATCTTGAGCAAGATTAATGTATTATTTTTTTTTACAGTTTTAGTATGAAAGAAGGAAAGGAACATGATGCAAAAGTTTGGGTTCTCAGATATCTCTTTCCAAGGTCTCAGACCTCTTGTTAAAGTCATGGCTTGGTGATGCAAATTTCAAGGCTTTATAAATACTCTGACTTCTCAAACCTTGTCCCAACAATCAGCAGCCATGAGCTCCCCTGAGCAGATGCCTAGCACTATGAAAATTAAAATAATTTGA